ACTGTGAAAGCAAATTGAGAAAAAGGGTCTCTGACTTTCAGTTTTGTCGTTCACAGGACTTGGTGTACAGGAGAATAACTCTATGGTTGAGGGCCTGATTTTAAAACATAAGTCATACGTGGATATTGATGAGAAGGCATTATAATTCCAAGAGATACAGTTTTTTGTTTTAAGATTATTTGTAATGTCAAACTGTCTGTTTAAGGCCCTTATTCTAATTATATACTGATTTGTATGACAGAAAAAATGGCCTTAAAGGAACACCATAGGGTCAGGAACACAAACATGAATTCCTGACTCTTTAGTGTTAAAACCACCGTTTAGGTGGCTTGACCCCAACCCCTCCTCCCCATGCCCTTTTAGAGAGGGTTACAATTTATCTTATTTTCAGCCCTCCACAGGTCTGCATGCCCATAATATGCCTCTTTGGCTGACATGATCAGAAATTATAATCTCAGCCAATCCATTGCTTTTCCACTGGGAAAGCAGTGGATTGACTGAGATGGAGATGAGGTCTGGCCAATCGGCATCTCTTCATAGAGTTGCATTGAATCAATGCATATCTATGGAGAAAGTTCAGTGTCTCCATGCAGAGGGTGAAGTGACTAAATGCCAGTGCTGCACAGTGTGCAACACTGCCCCTAGGAAGCACCTCCAGTTGCCATATGAGGAGTGGCCACTGGAGGTGTCCCTGGGCTTTAATGTAAACACTGCCTTTTCTCTGAAAAGACTGTGTTTACAACGAAAAGCCTGCAGGGACTGATATGTTGTTTTGGTGACTATAGTGTCCCTTTAAGTTTTAATTTCACTTCGAATTTCTAATACTCACTTTTTAGTAAATAACACTTGTTTGTACATGGAATTTGCAAAACAAACAATGAACTGTAAAGGAACACTGCAAGCATCATAAACACTCAAGTGCACTGTAGTTGTTAAAGTGCCAGGAGTGAGCGATCAAACAGTTTGCAGAGCTATGGAGTCGGTACACAAAATCTTCGACTCCCAACTCTTCAATTTATAGTACCTTTAACTCCACAGTGCTGTATGTATATATGTCATCTGACACTCTCAGCCAATCAGTGCCTCTCCATTCATAACACTGGCTTGAAAGAGGTATGTTTCTTTTCACGCCAGTTTTATGAATGGGGAGTCACTGATTGGCTCTGAGCATCAACTGGCTGCTCTCAGCTAATTGACAGTCCCGCTGCCTGATTCTGCAAAAGCCTTCTGGTTTCCTGATTTAAAAAAATGTAAGGACACCCATTGACGTTCTTCGAAAAACTCTGTTTCACTGAAACATCACAAACACAGCTAATCACACTACTATACCAACACCTATGCTCACACACGGAGGAGAGGAAACAATTACGATACACTGAACTATGGGAAGCTGACCTGGGGGAGACTCTACAGGGAACAGACTGACAAGACATATGGGAGGTGAGCGCCAAATCTTCAATATGCGTGACAATACATTAGCAATCATATAAGACACTCTTTTGCTGGTACATGACGCCTGTGAAGCAGTATCACATGAAATTAAGCACTACTGATACCTGCTGGCGACTATGTGGACACTGCGGGAGCTACATTCACATGTGGTGGCAGTGCCCCAGGTTATAGGAGTGCTGGCAGAGGGTAGTGACCTTCAGTTCAGATATCCTCCAACGAAGGGTGCCCCTGGACCCATGTGCTTGCCTCCTGTCCAAACCGACAGCATACACAAATATGAGCAAAAACTGCTCAACATGATCTACTTAGCAGCACGCTGGGCCACTCCGGACACCCCACCTATAGCGCTAGTAATCAACTACAGGACAACTACCTTATGGACAAGTTAACCGCACAGGTCAGAAACACCACCACGACGTTCCAAAAAGTATGGGACTTATGGAAACAATGGGATACTTAACTTCAAAAACAGCACCAAACAGGGAGGGGGGCTGCAGACCTTCGGGCTAGGGGTGTACAGTGTTCCCTCAGGACGCACGGGGAGGACCACACGACACCAGGGCACCGTGGGCATGGAAGCCCAATAACGGTATACCACCACACAGATAGTACTCTGACACCGAACCAAACAGAAGCTAGGCGACAATTTATTCCCAAGACTACTACCTTTGCTTATACCGGGCCACAGCCCACTGGCACAGCTAAGCCCACCGGGAACCCCGACTCAAACATCATACTAGACGATCACAGGCAGAAGGAGGTTGTTGTGACACCATAGACCACCCAATAAGATTACCTTGACACAAGGTAGCAATGCATTGGAGGTGCATGAACCAAGCGCGACCTCCGCACGAGCCAAGACCTCGCTAACAAACAAAAACTTGCAACCACGACAGAACAACAAACCACACATAGGCGACCAAGGCAAAGAAGCCAGTCCAGCTTACAAGCGAGACACACCAGAGGCGTACACTGCAACAGCACTACTGACCCACACTTAACCCATCCACACAGACACAGTGCACCACACACATGGAGAGACGTCACAGGTGGGCTAATCACGCTACAACACAACTGACAACAATAGAATTGGGGGGGACAAACTTAACAAATCACAAAAAAAACAAGGTGTGTGTTAATTTCTATATACAACCATTTACATTTGACAAACCATTATTTCTGTCAAATATGTATATTTAGCAAACCTGTACTCTCACATACGCAATACGAAGACAACAACAGAACAAAAACAAAACAAGGCAAAAAAAATAAATAAATGTGTGATGATTCCTATATACACCAGTTTGTATTTGAAAACCAGTTCACTGTTCTCTTTGTATCCTGTTCAAATCTGCATTTCTACATACATACATAAAAATAAAGAATAAAAAAATTTAAGGACAGAGAGGCATGGAGATTCGGCACTGGAACACAGACTTTGAGATTAAAACATATGATTTAACGCTTAAAGGTGAGTCAGCCGTTCTGGAATCTTAACCACTTAATTTTGATGAAGTTGTTATGGTGCCCAAACTGGTCCTTTAAAGCACTACCTACTAATTTTTGAATGAAGAATTTCCTTCATCAACAGATACATTTATTCTGGCACAAGAATTTGTATGCATACACATAGCTTTATATGCTTTTGTTGAGTAAAAGTTTTGTTGATTTTTATGACTCATTCAACAAGTAACTTAAATATGTTCAGTGCTCAAGATCCAGCATACTCGCTCACTAAACAGCAATTTCAAAGCTCGCTTTCATGTAACGTTTTGTTTTTGTTTTTAAAATGCCTAACCTAGGCAAAAATAAAAGGAATTTTGTTACAGTCTATAATCATACATTGCATAAGCCTGTCACAACAGCAATGCACCCCAATTCTAGAAACCTAATGCCTGCTCTTATGAGATTAACCCACTTACTTGGGAAAAGCTCTGCAGTGCAAGGTTGAATAGGGCACAGGAGTGAGGCACCCTTGTAAAGTGTGCACCCTCTTGGTGTTTATATAAAATATATATTTGCTAGTAGTCTTGGAGCTATTTAACACTGCAAGTTCTACTCATCAATGCATAGTGCCGAGTGGAAATTTTGAGCCCTGTATGTGCGTGAGAGGAAATTTTGTTTACATATATGATATGTAATTGACATGACAGGGCTGTGTTAACTTTTTAAAATACCGTATTTATCGGCGTATAACACGCACCTCATTTTAAGAAGGAAATTTCAGGAAAAAAAAACTTCAAGGACCACTATAGTGCCAGGAAAACATACTTGTTTTCCTGGCACTATAGTGCCCTGAGGGTGCCCCCACCCTCAGGGACCCCCTCCCGCCGGGCTCCGGAGAGAGGAAGGGGTTAAACACTTACCTTCCTCCACGCGCATTCAGCCGGTCGCATATGAAAGCATTTATAATGCTTTCCTATGGACGCTTGCGTGCTCTCACTGTGATTTTCACAGTGAGAAGCACGCAAGCGCCTCTAGCGGCTGTCAATGAGACAGCCACTAGAGGCTCTGGAGGCTGGATTAACCCTCAGTATAAACATAGCAGTTTCTCTGAAACTGCTATGTTTATAAAAAAAAGGGTTAATCCTAGAGGGACCTGGCACCCAGACCACTTCATAAAGCTGAAGTGGTCTGGGTGCCTAGAGTGGTCCTTTAAATTTCAAATAAAGAACTTCTTACCCCCCTTTCTTACTCCCCCCTCCCCCTCTTCTTACTTCCCCTTCTTACTCCCCCTCCCCCTTCTTACTTACCCCCTTTTCCTCCCCTCTTCTTACTTACCTCTTGCCTTTCTTACTCCCCCTCCCTCTTCTTTTTCCCTCCCCTTCTTACTCCACCCTCCCCTCTTCTTACCCCCCTCCCCCCCTTCTTACTCCACCCTCCCCTCTTCTTACCCCCCTCCCTGTACCCGGTCGGACTGACAGGAAGGTGCACACTGAGCGTGCACCTTCCTATCACTCCGGCCGGCCACCGCGGACAGCAGAGCAGCTCGGCCACGCTACAGGGGAGGTGAGAACCAACTGCAGTCGCCTGAGCGCTCTTGACAGCCCAATAACGGTATACCACCACACAGATAGTACTCTGACACCGAACCAAACAGAAGCTAGGCGACAATTTATTCCCAAGACTACTACCTTTGCTTATACCGGGCCACAGCCCACTGGCACAGCTAAGCCCACCGGGAACCCCGACTCAAACATCATACTAGACGATCACAAGCTGCAGTATTTAAAGGGCAGGCGTATAACACGCACCCACAATTTCTCCCCTATTTTCAGGGAGAAAAAGTGCGTGTTATACGCCGATAAATACGGTAATTCTCAAAATAATATACTAGCCTAGCACTTGCTTCAAATGCCAGCAGGCCTTCCTACATTTACAACTCAAAACTATGGCATGGCACTTCCATTAGGCCACTTAAGCGGTGGCCTAGGGCTCAAGATCACTGAGGGCGCCTCTTGCAAACCTACAGCTGTAATGATGTATGGGTCTGTCCGGGCGACAGGGTTGCCCAGGTATACCCTGTAATGAATTGTAAAAATGGCTAAATGGCCAGACAGAGACATGCTAAGATTCCGGATGGCAGCCATGTGGCATCTGCACAGCCATTATTCACACAGTGCCGAACTGTCTTCTGGCCGCTGATGCACTCCACATTGGCTGCATCTGATCCACATTCCATTAGGCAGAATTGTGCATGGAAACATGTGAGAGGAATCAAGGATTTAGGATGTGGCAGGCATCAGACCTGGTAGCCTAGAGTATCTGTCCCAGCAGGCCCTTCACTTGGTGCACGCCAAATGCAGTCTCCGTTGTGTGTAGTGAGCTTGTGTGTGTCACAGTGCTTGTGACTGTATGTGTGTTTGTGCCAGAGAGCTAGTGTGTGTTGGATCATATGGGTGATACATTATATTGCCACACCAATTTGATACTTACAGAGGCGTGGTGCGTGTGATGTCACACCATTAGAGCAGAGGGGAGCAAATATCCTTGCACCAGACCTGCTTCTCAAATACTGTTGTTCTTGGTGTGCCTAAAACATATTTTCTTCGTTTTGTGTGAACATAGAATGCTGAAAGAATATTTTACATAATAATGCAATCAATCCTTAATTTAACTTACAAGTAAACAATAACACGGAACATATTTTTTACACATACTATCAGCTAAAATGGATATTATAGGCATCAAAACAACTTTAGCTTATTAAAGCAGTTTTGGTGTATAGATCATGCCCCTCCAGTCTCATTGCACAATTCTCTGCCATTTAGGAGTTCAGGCACTCTTGTGTCTGTATATGCAGCCTTAGCCACACTTCCCCTGGCTGTGACTCACACTGCATGCATTAAAAAAAAATGGTTTCAGAGGTAAACTTGCTTTAGAATTTATCTCCTGCTCTATAAATTAAACTTTAATCACACACAAAAGTGTTTAAGAGGCTATTAACAAGATGTATATACCTACTGTTCACGATATTTTCTTTTTGTTATCTTTTGAATGTAAACGCTAACAATTGTTTGCAGTATTTCATGTTAATACAAAATAAAGAATAAAAAAAAAAAGAAGCTATTAACAGAGCAGGAAATATGAAATTCTAGATTAAACAGACGGTGCAGTTAAGGAACCCAAAATACCTGGATTCCTTTTCAGGAAGTGTCTAGGAAGGCTGCAAGTCACGTGCAGTTTGATGTGACTAGGGTGGCATAAATAAAGGGATTTAACTCCTAAATTGCAGAGAACTGAGCAGCGAGACTGCAGTGGCATGAACTATACACCAAAACTGCTTTGTAAGGTAAAATTGCTTTGGTGCTTAAAGTGTCCCTTATAGCGACTGTAGCATGAACACCACAGAATCTGCCTAGGTGTCCTTTATGCTTTCATGAAAGGATTTTCCAAATATAATTTTATATAGTGTGCAGTTTACTATATTTTATTCCATAATTTTATTTTTATTTATCTACAGGTACGTTTGCAAGGAAGCTTTTTGGATGGCCCCGGAGCAGGCCAGATGGAAGAGGAAAGTACCAACCATCATGAGGGTAGTAGATTGGGTCCACTCCTAATACATCCAGTGCCTGCTAGCCAAACCAATATCTCACAGCAACAAAATGGGAACCTGACATCCGAGTGCTCTCATGTCCAAGTTAATGGAGACAAGTATTTAGCAACAAAAAGCAGCTTCAGCATCACACATATGAAAGGAAACCAGGAATGTGCCGATTCTGACCCACTGCATGAAAACAGAGATTATCCCAACCGTATTGAAAATGGCGGCTTCAAGCGTACTTTTAGTGATCCTTTGATTTCTGAATCCATTCATTTGAAAAAAGTGAGAGTATGCGAAACAGTTAATGGAGAAAAACAAGGTGACCTGAAAAATATTCAACCAAGTGTCTTTGATTTTGTCTGTAAAGATGATTCGGCAAGAATATCAGAACAGAAAAATAAAGGGTTTCAGGTTCCCAGTGAGCAATGTAAAGACGTGAATTCCCATAACAGAGACATTGTCTTAGGTCTTGCGGCTAGGACAGTGCCAATGTCAAACGGTGCTAGCTTTTCTGCTTCTTCCATGGAAACGATTCACCAGGAACTCCTGGAGAAAACAGATCCTCAATATTATAACAACAATGTTTCCACTGCAGTGCAGAAACAATCGCCTCACATGGATGCCATTAACACTCAAACGGATGCTAGCAATGAATTGTCTACCCAGACAATTCATTCATCACATACCTCAGGGCAGATCACCTCCCAACAAACTTTGAATTTGGTGCTGCCTCAAGAGCCAGATGCAATGGCTGTTGAGGCTTCCAATGGTGAGAGCTTCAGTGAGCAAGCTGTAATATCCAGAAACTACTCACTTCACATACATGAACAACAACCACTTCCACAGGATACACCCAAATATAACTCCCATACATCTATATCTAACAGGAACTGTAACTCACATGGACCTGCAGAACATGCTTCAAACCATCAACAGGCTGTTTCTACCAATGATTCTTTCCTTTTCAGAAATATGAGAAATGATGAGAAGTTAGATCATGAAAAGAAGGATCCTTTTACTTCCCTACAGTTCAATAAATTGCTGTATTCCCAAGAAAGTGAAGGTTTTAATTCCATTCAGAATACGTATGATGAAACCATTTTCAATTCTTCCCTATCCAGTCAGTCTGGTAAGCTACATGATCAGGCAGTTTCTTCTCAGTCTTCTGTTCTGCACCCCCCTACAGTTATAAAACATATGATGCTACCCACAGAATTACCTTCACCTCAGTGCACAGCAGTGAGAGAGGCATCATCCAAAAGCTCTATTGCTAACAGATGTATCTCAAAAAAACAGTCAGAAAAACAAACACCCCTCCAAGAGATTGGCCAAGAGAGTTGCAATGGTGTAACAAAAGAAAGGGAACAATTCATGCAGCAAACGAATCCATATTTGAAGACAAGCTGGTTAGAAAATCGTCCCAATTACTGTAGGCAAAAAGATTCTTCCCAGAAGTCATCAGAGGATTTGTTGCAATTACTAATTCAGTCTCAGTCGCAAAGCCAGATGAAGCTAAAGCAATATACAAGAAAACCTGGATTAGTTGATCTTAGTCCGCGTAACCCTGAATCACCAACAAATGGGGTTTTACATCAGTCAGATAGTCCTGATCAGCAGCAACATTTCCAAAAGCACTTATCACAAACAAAGATTGACTCCCAGTTACAATCCTATACACAGAAAAATAAAGCAAATTGTTTTGGCTTTCAGTCTATGCCAGAACAAGAAACTCAGCATGCATTTGACCAAGTCTTGAAACAGCACTTAAAATTAGAGACTTCAAAGGCTGAGTTAGTTTCCCATAATTTGCAACATGCAATACACCAGCAACATACAAAACAATGTGAAAGTCCACGGCTAAACCTTAACAAACATCTTCAGCAGAAACAGAGCAAAGAGGAATTATCACAAGCCTATGCTAGCTCTATGTACAAATGTAATCAATCTAGAGGGAGCACACAAAACTCCTTAAATCTAGAAGAAAACACGCATTCAATAAATCCTTACCCAAATTCCATTGGTTACCAATTTTCTGCTGAAGACTTGGAGAGGGAATTGAGGAAATACTCAAGCAGCACAATTGCAGCCCTTCATCAAAATCATGAACCAAACATGCAAATTATGGGACCTTCTTGTGTAGGCAAAGAGCTATATACACCAGAGAAGATTGAATTTGGCAAAAGTAATGGTAAAGACGTGACCGAGGAATTGCAGCAACATATGAGACATTATCAGAATCATAATATTCAACAGCATGACACACTCAATTACAACAACAAACAAAATAACAGGGTTCCCTTTTCTAATCCTTCACATCCGCTGAAACAAGAGAACAGCAGACTAAATCATGAAGTTCCAAGAAGCATGGAACACCAAAAAAGATACTTACCACAAAGCCATCCTACAACTAGTCTTTCACAAGATCAAACAAGGTATCATTCTCAGTTTGCAAACCAAGTAGATTGTATCCCAAAATATGCTGCTCTGCGGCATCACTTGCTTCAGCGCAGAGAGCAACAAAAGCATGAAAGTTCTCATGGGCGTAGATCTGCAAAATTAGAGAACAACTGCATGCGTACACCCGGGGAAAACAAAGCCGGGAGAAAAACAATCAAGCAGGAGAGTCAGCATTTTGGTACAGAGATCATGCAACAAAAGAGTATAATTGAAACAATGGAACAGCAGATGAAACCGTATCCTGGCAAATCGGTGTTTCATAATCATATATCAACAATTAAATCACCCAAGCATGTTAAGGTAGAGTCGTCAGGTCCCATTACAATTCTAAGTACACACACTAATTCTTCTACACTAGACCAACAACCCATTCCTCCTCAAGAAAAAACCCCAACCAAGAGGGCAGCAGGATCTGCTCTGAATAATTTTTTAGAATCGCCTTCAAAGCTTCTGGGCACACCTATTAAAAACCTTTTGGACACCCCTGTGAAAACACAGTATGATTTTCCATCGTGCAGCTGTGTAGGTAAGTGATAACTTTGCTATACAATACATTTTGCAGGAAAAGCTGTAATAATTTTTGTTTCAATAGTAACATCAAGTTTAAAAACTGCCACTTTCTAGTCATGAATTTTCTTAACAGGCTATATGTCATTGAGATAAAATGTCACAAAGCGTCCTGACTTTCCAGTTGTACAGATTTCGAAAAAACTTTTTAATTTTCTATATTTTGACACAGAATCCTTTTTATCTATCTTATGCAAAGGAATAATAATCTAGTGTGTTGATGTTCAGAGTGAGTCTTATCATCAGATAACGTGTCGTGATTTACATGTATGGAATAAAACATCTGAAATTTTGGTTTGAACAGAACAAATCATTGAGAAAGACGAAGGACCCTACTATACACATCTTGGAGCTGGACCTAACGTAGCCACCATCAGGGAAATGATGGAAGAAAGGTAATCAACATACACAGCCATTTAAAAAATAAATTATGCTTATATGGGTTACTGTTAAGCTTCTAAGCTGTTAAGTATATTAAATATAGTATATACAATACATGTTGTACATGTTTGTATAGGTGTAAAATGTATCAGTGTGTGGGCTTGAATCGCATATGTGTAGGAAAATTTCTATACATGCATATTTTTTTAGTTCTACATAAGAAAATGTAGGGAGTACTTTTTTTCAAATGGTGGTTGTAATTTGGCAATGGGTTAAGCTAAAGAAAGCCCCATTTCAGTTGCTAATTCACTCACAATCCATCAGTCAAAAGAATCCCACCAAAGGGCAAACTGCAGACATTGTGGACAGAGGAGAAAAAAAAAGAAGCGCACAGATTTTGAAATTCAGCACAAGGAAGTAAAGATAATACATATTAACTAAGCCAAATAACAAACTCATCTTACAGGGCTGTTCACCAAACTCCAGATTCTGTCCAGATCGAAAATATTCAATCAAAATTACTAAATTCCAATCGCAATTGCAATTCCATTATTTACTGTATCCAAATATTGTCGGGACTCTGTTAACTCAGGCCAATCAGCTGCAATTGAGATGAGTCAAACGGGGGATAAAATAATTATAAAAACAGATGTTTTATAACGTATTTATTAAAATAAAATATATACCGGTATATAAAAAGCCATATATATATATATATATAATATAATGAGGACAAACAAAGAAAAAGCAAAAGAAAGTTCAAATATAAGTCCAAGAGTGAATCCAAATGGTAAAACTTGCTGGAAGATAAAACCTCAAAGAGTCAGGGTAGTTCCTCTGGAATGGGGTCAGATCAGAGTATTCTTGGCAGCCATATATGCAACAGAAAGAGAGAACTAATGGTGCAGAAAATCCCAGAATAACATAAAAGTAAATAAAACGTCTATGGTCATACTTACATTTGATAGAGCTTGACCTAGCTCTAGTCTGAATGTCATACAGTGGTACAATCCCCACTTATAGGATAAGTGAGACGGTGTAGGTAGGCTGGTGTATCATCGGTATGAAGATCATACAAAATATAAAAGAGACAGCAGTTGTGCTCACAGTATAAAAGGTACCCGGAGCATAGAATATAGAATAGGTGTTCACATTTAATTGGGCAGATTAACTGCTCAATGTGTAGGCGTAAGTGGTATAATCCCCACCGTGGATCCTTTTAGCGTAGTCCTCACAGGAACTTAAAATCGGATGCCAGGTAGAAAATAATAAAGTAAAATGGCACACTCACAGTGGAAAGAGGCCAAAATACGTTAATTAAAATACAATTTAAAACAAACAGTTAAAATATCCACAACGCGTTTCACCAAAGTGGCTTTGTCAAGTGGAGGTAGAAAAAGTTAAACATTTTTGTATTTTTAGTTAGGTATATTAGCGCTGATCTTTTTTTATCCTTTTGTCAATCTGCTGCAATTGTCCTGATGTATTTAGTGTCTGCGTTATAATCTGTGCTTGCGCATTTAAATGTACAAAATATATGATTCAAAGACATCACAAAGCATTGATTTTAAACTGAATGGGGACAAAATGCATGCAGCTTAATACATATTTATAAATTATATAATAATACATATAAATATATATGATAATACATATAAATATATAAATACATATTTATAAATTATATGATAATTTTAAGCAATATTAAGTCGTAGTTGGATAACCTTAGCAATGCAAGGGTTATTTATGTGGCAACTAGCCGGTACTTGTGAGCCATTCGCCACATAAAATAAAATTGATGGGGGTTAAAGGACGGTTCAAAACCTTCCTCTGCCCACATCTACCATGCATGTCTACTAAACATATAGCAATAGCGACTGGGCAGCCATTGGGGATGGGGCATTCAGACATGAGTAACCACACTAATCTTAAAACATCACATTGCATGTATGTAGTTTGCTAGCAGAATTGTTGGCAAATGTCTAGATTTCTATAAATTTAGAGGTTGAATTGCAATACTTTCCTCCTCTGCCCAGTCACTTCAGGCTGTGCAGATCAGCACAAACATAAGAACGCTGTGTTCTGCATGCCTGTTATCATGGAAACCCGTAGACGTCTCTACTGCTTGCATTTACCCTAAGAGAAAGCAATGTCTGCAAGTGGGGAGGGTAGGCTCAGTGTGAGAGCAGCAGCCGCAAAGTAGAGAGAAACAGCCACAAGGATTTATTGTAGGAGCTTTGGAGGCAGTCTGAGAACGCAAAGAGAAAGCGCAAATGGCTTATTTTACATACATAAAGTGATGGGACTTTTTTTTCTCAGTCTGTTTTTAATTGAACACAGATTTTAAATACAAATGTGTACAGTTATGGCAGGAGTAAAGCCAAGCATTGGAGATAGAAACAAGCTTCACAATACATGTCAAGGGCCTAACTATGACAATAAAGAGTAACTAAGAGCATGCAGAGACATATGTGACGTATAGATGTTATAGGCCTTATTTTATAAAAAAAAAAAAGAAATGAAAGCAATAAAATACAGTGCAATGTGACTAATCCAAAATAGTATCTTAACATAATGATGTACTGATGGTGATAAGCAAACAACAATAGTAATAAAGTAAATTATTCAAGGTTCACATACGAGAATAATGTGCCACCGCGGATGGCTCTAGTGGTAAATGCGAATGTCCAAGATATATGGGACATATAATGTGTGGTCAGCAGAAAAATAGCACTTTCAACTTAGGAGAAAAGGACAAGCAGTAACATAGAATTGAGCTGAAGAGCAAGGCTTGGTAGGCTTAGGGACACAGAAGTGGCCGATGCAGCACTTATGAGATAGGGTGTCTCAGTGCTGTAATCCGCTTAACTTCCGTTGGCTTTGGAAGCACCCAGCTCCGATGCAGGCCGGAACTCCTTGCCCCATATGTGCTGGCGATGCATAATTTGGGTGCTCTCCCAGTACATGACCGGTCTGGAGGCCGCTGGAGAAAGAATCCTCAGCTGAGTGATTCTGTGAGTTTTGTAGGGCAGGCTGCTGGAAGAACAGCTTCCTCCAAAAATCATCAAGGAATTTGTCCAGCCTGGATAGCGCTCCGGACATCACTCCTCCATAACAGATGCCAATTTGGGTACTGTTGCTGTTTGCGGTGCAACACATCACTGGTGATGTGAAAGAGCCTCCAGGGTGGGGACCATCAATGTGGCTGAAGATCAACATACGCTGGTTGGGGAGAACGGCACCTCTCCCTTCTGCGCCTGCTAACCCTCACACCAGTCAGCAGAGAACTCCATCCGGACGGCTGCTACTGACCGCTGGAAGTACCCCCAAGGCGGCCAATCGATGCGGAGCACACAAGCTGACTCCAAGAGAGAGCCGAGGCCAGGTAAGCAGTTCAAAATGTCTGATTTAAACTGAGCATCAGAAAAAGACATCTGCCCAAAATCGGAGTCAGGCCCTACTCCCCAGTGATGGGACTTTTCACCCATTATGGGATGCAAATAAGTACCTCCCAAACGGGGGGGGTGCAGCTGAAGTGAGCATGTATACCACCCACTAAAAACATTGATGCTTTCATTGGTAGACAGGGGTAATGGCAACAAATGTAAAATATAAGTGTTTATTAATAGTATTACAGATACATGCAAATCAACTAATAATTAATAATGCTAGCCTTTTATAGCAGCTCCAATCTTTCTTGGACTGCTTTCATATAATATCTGATTTTGGAATATTGCACTCTTCTCTGAAATCAAAAACCTCCAGTACATGAATGGAAATTTGCTTTGCATAGTGCCACTAGTACTTTGGGCCTAGCACTGATGTCAATGTTTAGATTTAATGATTTCATAGGTTTTTGTCTTCCGGAGAACATGATATTCCTTTTGAATTTTAGCATAGTAATGTGTATGGAACATGGGTACCTCATGAAGAACCTGGTTTTCCTGTAAAATGGCCGTTCGGCAGCAGTTATAAGACCATGCAGAATAATTGTAGGATTTAATGATTCCCATAACATGGCTTCCCATACCATTACAGACCCCCAACATGTTTAACAGTTGGCAACAGACATTGAGGCTTGAAGGAATCCTCTGAATTTTTGGAAACTCAAACCCATATAGATGCAGAAAAATAATGTCTACGATAACTTGGTGGATTATATTACATTTTTCCATTGCTCTGCTTTAAAAATGTTTTTGTTTTTTTTTGTCATCAGTCTTAGGTTTAAGTGGTTGGCAAATTCCAGGTCTACTAGCCTCACCATGTATACAGTTTTTGCTGAGACCAGATTACTGTGATGCTAATTCAATTATGTGTTAATTTGTAACGCTGTACGCTTATGGCATTTAGAAACTAGCAAAGTTACTTTGTCGGGGAGCTTTAACTTGAAACTGTTGCTTTGCTCCACATTATCAATACAATCGTTCTGTGTGACAGATGTCAATATTTTTTAAAACGTTTTACTTTACCAAAAATTTCACCTTCTGAGTATTCAAAGCAAAAAGTAACACAGTAAAGGAGTTTACGCATGCGTGGGATAGGCATAAGGCTATCCTAACTATAAGATAAGACTAGGGACTAATGAAAGTATTTAGAAAATTGGGCAGACTAGATGGGCCGAATGGTTCTTATCTGCCATCACATTCTATGTTTCAAAAGGAAGCCGTTATCAAGGGGCAAATTGTCATCATAATAATGTTTTTTACTAGCTTGTTACTTTAAAGTAGTTTTTTCATATAGCATTTGTTATTTTCTTTACGCAATATATGTCTGGGGTTTGTAATCCTATATAGGGGTTTGTAATCCTATATAAGTAACTGTGTGCGTGGCTATGAATTTTTATGTAAAAATGTGTTCATAATGTATAGAAAGGGCATTTTACGTTAAAAATAGACAGTTAAAGGAACTCTTCAAGCTCCATAAACCCTAGACCAAAGTAATATATAGAATAATTTAGCAGGCACTAACCTCACAATTTACTTCAAACAAAAGATTAGAGTCTTATATATTATTATAATTATTATTATATGGTAAGTCATTAAATAAATGCCTGAAAATAGACTAAAAGTCCAAAAGTCTCTATGTGAAAATTCCGATGTGTACATTTTTCCACCAGAGTGAATGAAGTTTGCAAACTAAATTAGCTCTTTTAAAATAGCATTTTATTTGACACACAATTAAAAGCACAAAATTACTGACAAAGTAAAGCATAACTTATTAAAATCATTTTTATGACCACAATCATCTCTTCAGGTTATCTCCTCAAGAGCCCAGATTAGTGCCGACTTCTACTCTGCCCTTTGTACAATGGCACAATATGTTCACCAGAAAAAAAAGGCAGTGTGTGTTGCAGGAGCCAGCTGACCAAGACAGGATGCATGCCGTAAACTGTAAAACAAGGAACAAAGCCCAACATATTTTGCTAATACAATCCATATCATCAGAGGCATGCCTGTCTTAGGTGGCTGGCTGCTTCAACACACGCTGTGATTTCTTCTGGTAATTGTAATCTATCAGTGTACAGGCGACAGAGGAGGAACTGGGACTCATCTGGGCTCCTGATGAGATAACTTAAAGCAGCAATTGCTGTCACAGGAATGATTTTAAGAAGTAATACTCCTGATATGCTTCACTTTGTCTGGAATTCTGTAAGTGTTTTTAATTATGTGATGAATAAAGTGCTATTTTAACAGAGAGCATGTGTTCTCCTAATTTTTATTTTGAAGACATTATTCATTCTGGTGGAAAAAATTACATATGGGGGGATTATGTTGTTGCCACACACACACACTTATTTTGCGGGTGCCTTTTTAGTGGCTTGGCCACTGGGTATCCATTGCTATTAGTTTTAAATATTTTTTAGAACTGCCACCATGTTGCATGGCAGCTGGGGGCATAGGGAGTTTTTAAACCTCCCTATAAGGTTTTTCTTGGCTCCCGATAGGGGTTTATTATTTTTTTAATTTGGTGGCTGGCTAGCCTCACAGCGCCATGAGTTTTTAACTATTGTTTGGATTTTTTAAAAATCTGAGTCCGGCTTTGAAGTATTCAGTCTGGATTTCAGCTGTCTGGCGGTGTTCTGTTTCTGTCCAGCTAAAATCCAGACCTGTTTCAGGCTTATTCCAGACAGGGTTAGACAAGATGACCAATGTCTGGATTTTGCAGTCCAAGAGGCCCTATACATAGCTGGATGGTTTTACCCTGTGTGATACATGGTCATACAGACTTTAGTGAACAGCCCTGTTGGTATGTAGCTACTTTCTTTTTTAATTATAGTTTTCACAATACTCTTGTATAAAATGTTAAAAAATCAACAAAAAAATATACAGAACATGGAACTCCTTTATTAGTAGCTCTTGTTGTGGTTTTGATGCCAACATGGGTCAAGGGGTAATGTAAACCAGGTAAAGAATATGTTTGGCACCCACTGGGGGTGTGCCTAAACTATTTTATGTCCTATTGTATGTCTGGTCTTTTACTATGTTTCATCCTTTTCCTTCTGAATGCTGACTAATCATCATTGAAATATAGTTCAGAAACATCTGGGAAAATATGGTTCGTGGTAATGACTAACCATTTGACTGCAGATATTTATGGCTCACATTTCCTATTATGCCGTTATCCTGACTGCATGTATGAATGGCTACTCCGTTGGTTTTCATAAAACATGCTCTGTATGTTCTGTTAACTTTTTCTTTTTTTAAATCTAGCTTTAAAAACATCACTACATTATTTGCAGTAGAAGAGTGGAAAAATTATTACAGTTGCAAAGACTAGCAGTATGTTCTTCAGACTCACCGATGGAGTCTGTAGTAATTTCTTGTCATTGCTGGCTTTTTTTTCCAGAAAGGCTCACTGAGAGTATGTCTGAACTGGTACTAGTGTTCTCTTCTGTATATCAGTGGTTTTAGTCCGGTAAGATGCCTGCATAACCCTGCGTAGGGCAGGAGTTTCCGTTACCAGCAGTTTTATATTTGCCCCCACCCGCTGCCATGTCTGGTGGTGGAGACATTAGATGCATTTTAATGTACTCTGAATGTTGGCAGATATCCATAACTGAAAGGGTTAAACTATAGGTCACTCAACTTGTGCAAAACCATGTTTATCTTTCAGGTTTGGTGAGAAGGGTAAAGCTATCAGAATTGAGAAAGTGGTGTATACAGGAAAAGAAGGCAAGAGTGCTCAGGGATGCCCTATTGCAAAATGGGTAAGTGAAATCCATACATCAGTTGTACCATGGGTGGTGGTCCCTCTAATCAAGATGGATACGTTAATTTGTGTCTTTTTTTTTCTTTTTATTATTATTTAAGTAACTTTTAATTACTTTCAGAAAAAATGTATGTATTGTTTTGAAACAGATACATATAGGTCAAAGATACATAATGCAATATTGATTTATAATATATTACCAACAAAGCATTTTGGTAACCTCAGCTGGAACCAGATAAAATACAACATCTGAGACTGCTTTATTTTAAGCAAACAATGTGTAACACAATACAGTCAATGCAAGCCCCATTGCCTTGACCTCTTGTAAAAAATAAAAAAAAGTTTTAAAGCGAAATTGGTCAGAAATTATGAAAAGAACAGATTCTGGAAGAGGACGGTAAGTTTGAGATGACAGAGCCATTTTAAATAGCCAGTGATGTCTTCTTTTGTAAATGGTATGCCATGATGGGGGTAAAGAACAGTTGAGGCCTTATATATTGTCACAAATGTGATCTGATCTCAGTAAATCAATTGGTGAAAATTTGAAAACTGAAGATTGTATGGCTGTCATTTGACCCTAACTTTTCTAAAACCTGGTCTAAGTTGCTGTACTCGGTCGCGGTAGCAGAATACAAATTTAGGTTCTTTATACTAGCTAGATGTACATTATCCGAACTAATCCTTAGGAAATGAAACACGCTTCAGAAAAACACAAAAATAAATAGGTATTTTTTGCTGTATTAGTGATGAAATGGTTAAATGAAAAATATCAAGATGCTATTATATCTCCTCATGCAGCTATTCTTTTGTGGTAGCACTACTATTTGTATAGAGCTTTATTTTTAGCAAAGCTATGTACTTTTTTTTTTCAAATTATTTTTAAATAAGTTGTGTTAAGTATGGGGTATCTGATTAAAGTTCTATATGTTGTTAAAAGACACAAAAAGTAGTATGTACATGTGCAAAACAGCTAAAGTGCCAAAAAGGCTTTAGTAACAAACACAAAGAATCTAAAAAGGGGTTTAAAAGTATCTTTATTATGTAAACCGGTAAGAAATTTATAAAAACAGAGGAGCAGTGATTCTGACAGTATTATGTAATGCAATAAAGGCAGTGTCATATAATGCATTTATTAGATATAATAACACAGTCCTGGTGTCTATAAAGTCATTTGAATTACTTCAGTGTGCCTCCGTACACTTCCAATACCAGAGATTACAGACATTGCTCCACTTAAAGGGCTACTCCAATCACCATGACCACTTCTACTTGTATACATCTCCCTCCCTTGCAGCTTTCATTTGACCTCTCCTCCCTGAAACATCAGTGCTCTATATATATATATATATATATATATATATATATACACACACATACATACATATATACACACACACATATGTATACACATACAGTCAGGTCCATAAATATTGAGACATCAACACAATTATAAGCTTTTTGTCTCTATACACCTCCACAATGGATTTGAAATGAAATGAACAAGATGTGCTTTAACTGCAGACTTTCAGCTTTAATTTGAGGGTATTTACATCCAAATCAGGTGAACGGTGTAGGAATTTCAACAGTTTGTATATGTGCCTCCCACTTTTCAAGGGACCAAAAGTAATGGGACAAGTGGCTGCTCAGCTGTTCTATGGCCAGGTGTGTGTTATTCCCTCATTATCCCATTTACAAGGAGCAGATAAAAGGTCCAGAGTTCATTTCAAGTGTGCTATTTGCATTTGGAATCTGTTGCTGTCAACTCTCAATATGAGATCCAAAGAGCTGTCACTATCAGTGAAGCAAGCCATCATTAGGCTGAAAAAACAAAACAAACCCATCAGAGAGATAGCAAAAACATTAGGTGTGGCCAAATCAACTGTTTGGAACATTCTTAAAAAGAAAGAACGCACCAGTGAGCTCAACAACACCAAAAGACCCGGAAGACCACGGAATACAACTGTGGTGGATGACCGAAGAATTCTTTCCCTGGTGAAGAAAACACCCTTCACAACAGTTGGCCAGATCAAGAACACTCTCCAGGAGGTAGGTGTATGTGTGTCAAAGTCAACGATCAAGAGAAGACTTCACCGGAGTGAATACAGAGGGTTCACCACAAGATGTAAACCACTGGTGAGCCTCAAAAACAGGAAGGCCAGATTAGAGTTTGCCAAACAACATTTAAAAAAGCCTTCACAGTTCTGGAACAACATCCTATGGACAGATGAGACCAAGATCAGAAGGAAAGGAACTGCTCATAATCCAAAGCATACCACCTCATAAGTGAAGCATGGCGGTGGTAGTGTCATGACGTGAGCACGTATGGCTGCCAATGGAACTGGTTCTCTTGTATTTATTGAGGATGTGAGTGCTGACAAAAGCAGCAGGATGAATTCTGAAGTGTTTCGGGCAATATTATCTGCTCATATTCAGCCAAATGCTTCAGAACTCATTGGAAGGCGCTTCACAGGCGCAGATGGACAATGACCCGAAGCATACTGCAAAAGAAACCAAAGAGTTTTTTAAGGGAAAGAAGTGGAATGTTATGCAATGGCCAAGTCAATCACCTGACCTGAATCCGATTGAGCATGCATTTCACTTGATGAAGACAACACTGAAGGGAAAATTCCCCAAGAACAAGCAGGAACTGAAGACAGTTGCAGTAGAGGCCTGGCAAAGCATCACCAGGGATGAAACCCAGCATCTGGTGATGTCTATACATTACAGACTTCAGGCTGTAATTGACTGCAAAGGATTTGCAACCAAGTATTAAAAAGTGAAAGTTTGATTTATGACAGTTAATCTGTCCCATTACTTTTGGTCCCTTAAAAAGTGGGAGGCACATATACAAACTGTTGTAATTCCTACACTGTTCACCTGATTTGGATGTAAATACCCTCAAATTAAAGCTGAAAGTCTGCAGTTAAAGCACATCTTGTTTGTTTCATTTCAATCCCATTGTGTTGGTGTATAGAGCCAAAAAGATTAGAATTGTGTCGATGTCCCAATATTTATGGACCTGACTGTATATATGTATATATATACAGTTGCAAGAAAAAGTATGTGAACCCTTTGGAATGATATGGATTTCTGCACAAATTGGTCATAAAATGTGATCTGATCATCATCTAAGTCACAACAATAGACAGTCACAGTCTGCTTAAACTAATAACACACAAAGAATGAAATGTTGCCATGTTTTTATTGAACACACCATGTAAACATTCACAGTGCAGGTGGAAAAAGTTTGCGAACCCTTGGATTTAATAACTGGTTGAACCTCCTTTGGCAGCAATAACTTTAACCAAAAGTTTCCTGTAGTTGCAGATCAGACGTGCACAACGGTCAGGAGTAATTCTTGACCATTCCTCTTTACAGAACTGTTTCAGTTCAGCAATATTCTTGGGGTGTCTGGTGTGAATCGCTTTCTTGAGGTCATGCCACAGCATCTCAATCGGGTTGAGGTCAGGACTCTGACTGGGCCACTTCAGAAGGCGTATTTTCTTCTGTTTAAGCCATTCTTTTGTAGATTTACTTCTACGCTTTGGGTCATTGTCCTGTTGCAACACCCATCTTCTGTTGAGCTTCAGCTGGTAGACAGATGGCCTTAAGTTCTCCTGCAAAATGTCTTAATAAACTTGGGAACTTTGATGATAGCAATCCATCCAGGCCCTGACGCAGCAATGCAGCCCCAAACCATGATGCCTCTACCACCACACTTCACAGTTGGGATGAGGTTTTGATGTTGGTGTGCTGTGCCTTTTTTTCGCCACACATAGTGTTGTGTGTTTCTTCCAAACAACTCAACTTTGGTTTCATCTGTCCACAGAATATTTTGCCAGTACTGCTGTGGAACATCCAGGTGCTCTTGTGCAAACTGTAAACGTGCAGCAATGTTTTGTTTGGACAGCAGTGGCTTCCTCTGTGGTATCCTCCCATGAAATCCATTCTTGTTTAGTGTTTTATGTATTGTAGATTCGCTAACAGGGATGTTAGCATTTGCCAGTGACTTTTGTAAGTCTTTAGCTGACACTCTAGGGTTCTTCTTCACCTCAATGAGCAGTCTGCACTGTGCTCTTGCAGTCATCTTTACAGGACAGCCACTCCTAGGGAGAGTAGCAGCAGTGCTGAACTTTCTCCATTTATAGACAATTTGTCTTACCGTGGACTGATGAACAGCAAGGCTTTTGGAGATACTTTTATAACCCTTTCCAGCTTTATGCAAGTCAACAATTCTTAATCGTAGTTCTTCTGAGAGCTCTTTTGTGCGAGGCATCATTCACATCAGGCAATGCTTCTTGTGAAAAGCAAACCCAGAACTGGTGTGTGTTTTTTATAGGGCAGAGCAGCTGTAACCAACACCTCCAATCTCATCTCATTGATTGGACTCCAGTTGGCTGACATCTCACTCCAATTAGCTCTTGGAGATGTCATTAGTCTAGGGGTTCACATACTTTTTCCACCTGCACTGTGAATGTTTACATGGTGTGTTCAATAAAAACATGGCAACATTTCATTATTTGTGTGTTATTAGTTTAAGCAGACTGTGATTGTCTATTGTTGTGACTTAGATGATGATCAGATCACATTTTATGACCAATTTGTGCAGAAATCCATATCATTCCAAAGGGTTCACATACTTTTTCTTGCAACTGTATATATATAATTATTATTGTCCTTTCACTCTCCTGTCTACCCACAATGCCTCTGATCGGGTGAAGCAGTCTAGTTGATTGAACTGCGCAAGGCCCGCGGTTTTATGTCTTATTGCAAAATGTAGGTGAGAGTCAATTAAAAAAAGGGTGGGGGGAGAGGGGTGGAGTAGCCCTTTAACCCCTTAAGGACCAAACTTCTGGAATAAAAGGGAATCATGACATGTCACACATGTCATGTGTCCTTAAGGGGTTAAAGTAGCACTGTCATGCCGAATTTACCCTTCTACTATCGTTTCCTCCTCTCTTCCTCTCTCAGAATCTGTAGGGACTACTTTGTCTTATATATTTTTTCTACGCTTGACCTCCTCTGATCCATTTCCTGTGGTCAATTAAATTTTCCCACAATACTCACCCTCCTCTGTGTTCTCGCAATTCCTCCTTTTACTATTCCAGAATGTCCTGTCATATAAACAGTGCTCCGGCGAATTCAACAAATTTTGTGTGAACCGAATGCCCACAGTTTGTCCATTCATGTTCGCATGAAATTTGGTGAATTTGTTCGGTTCGGAATTTCATTCGGAGAATTCGGTTTTGATCCGCTTCTTGGCACGACTGCATCTTGTAGCCAGTTAGTAGATAACCCCCTAATTCCCACAGTGGGTCACCTATTTAAATAATGAACGGGAAGGGGGGGGGATATACTCCAACCCTTGCACAGCAGGTAAGGGCTATTAAACTAAACTGGGGGCATAGTGGCATTAGCAAGTAGGGGATAGAGGGAGATTTTAGTCTCCCTTATGATGGGGTCATATTTACTCCCACAAAGTGGGGGGGATTAAGGAAGTAGTGGGGAGCAGCACAGCTCCCTGACGCTTCTATTTTTACATATTACAAGGAGTGAGCCACAAGCCGTAGCTCCCTCCTTGTAATAAACTTAGCCTACAAATTTTTGGACAAGAGCGAAGTATTCAACTGTGCTATCTAGTGTGGGCAGATGACGTGTGCCACAGGGACATACCACTTTAAAATGGCGGAGCCTAGGACCCTGGACCGGGCAAAAAAATAAAAAAGGCGTTAGAAAAAAATAAATGGTAAAATGAGGGACCAAAGAGCATTTGGTGGTGGCTAGTGGGACAATAAAATGTAGTCGGGAGGGGGTTTAAAAAAATGGATGTGGCCATGACATTGCCACTTTAAGTCTATCTTCATCCAAGGCACATGTCCCTATATCCCCACCCAATCCCCCACCCCCTTTAAATAATAGTCACTGTCCAATTATGTATAAATCATAGTTAAATATACACTTAGAAATAAAAAATGTGTGTGTGTGTAAGTATATATAATCTGAAAATAGACTTGTGTCCATCATAGTTCAGCCTTCCTCACATATGTTTTTGCTGTTGATCCAAAAGAAGGCAAAAAACCCAGTCTGAAGCGCTTCCAATTTTGCAACAAACTAGGAAAAGTTCCTTCTTGACCCCAAAATAGCAGGTGTCTCCTTGGATCAGCTATTACGCCACTAATTAGAAATGATATCCCTGTATGTTATGTTATTGCAAGTATTTATCCAATTGCAGTTTAAACATCTGTATGGACTCTGATAAAACCGCCTCTTCAGGCAGAGCATTCCATATCCTTATTGCTCTTACTGTAAAAAAAAACAAAAAAAACCTTTTCTTTGCCTTAGATGAAATCTCCTTTCTTCCAGCCTAAATGTGTGACCTTGAGTCCTATGTATAGCCCTGTTTATGAATAGATTTCCAGATAGTGGAAAATGTATTCATACTTACCGTAATTTTATTTTCCTGGCTATTATTCATGTCAGCATATACACATGGGTTAGCTCCTCCCCTTACAGCCGATAGGACAGGAAAAACACCAAGGATTTAAAAGGAGGCTCCATTCCTAAGGTCCTCAGTCAGTTTACAAGCTCTACAGTACATAAATAGAGACATTAGTGAGACCTTTGGTACGTCACATATTGGTTTCAACACCCTCAGTGGAGGCTTGAGTTCAATTGCTGCTTACCTGGAGGAAAGCACCAGGGGCATCAATGCTCAATGGGTATCCTTCGGTACAGGTAGAGAATGAGATTGATATGCATTCACCTTAGGCAGGATCTCAGGTGCTAAATACAAGACGACCATATCCTGTTGAAAATTAGTGAATGGGGGTTCACAGGATCAAAAAGTTCAACCCTTTTCCTTGCTGGGGTACCAGCCACCAGCACTTTCTGTGCTACCACCATGGAAGCTCCTTCTAGAGGTTCGAATAATGGTTTAGTCAGGGCCCGTGAGACCAGTGGTACGTCACATATTGGCTTCACCAAACCTAGTGGAGGCTTGATTTCAATCAATGCCTAAATGAAGCAAAGTGCAGTTATGTGCTCCTCTAGAGTGTTATAACACAGAACCTTTCAAGGCCTGAATGAGGAGTAATTCCAACAGACAAAAGCATGTCAAGCTTTGTAAAGTATGTATAGGATTGTAAGAGAATCTTAATAACTGTCTCAGGGATGCCTATACATTATATGGACTCCCGCATCAACACCAGAACCTGAGGATCTTGGTGTGTTAAGGGGCCTTATAATAGGTCTGGACATACTGGAATTTCCCTTGGAGGTTCCAGAATCATCTTAGTCATCATAGGAATTAGAGTCGACACGGTCTTCCACTGTCTCCTTTTGAATTACCTTTCTAGGAAAGTTGGAAACAGGAAAATATGTACATCAGACTAAAATTCCAAACTTAAGTCAGCGTATCCTGAACCTGAGCATTCTGGTCCTAAAATCTAGAAAATACTTCTGGACCTGGTAGTTCCAAGAAATGACCGTCAGATCTACGTAGGGTATCAGACAAATCGGTGTCAACCCCGAGGATATGTCGGGACATGGTTGCCAATCCACCTTGTCCACAGTTATTCGGCTCAAGCAAACAGCTATTATATTCTGAGCCCCTGGTTGTTCTTCTGTGCCCTGATCATTATGGGTTGGAATTCCATCAATACGTATCTGTGAGACCCATCTTGATAGATATAGGATACAGTTGCATTAATATTTGAGCAAATTTGGACCCACTTGTTCTTCAGCAACCCTCTGAAGTGAAAAAGAGCCTTGAAAATGACTTGTAATTCCATACAAATGAATGGAAATATTGTGCAACATGGTCCAAACACTGTGCAACCAATCTTCTAAAAACTGGAATTCAAGCTTATAATTGACCAATGAGGTTCTGTTCACTGGAAACTCGGAGCTCTATTCTTTCTTTTCAGCTACCAGGTAAGGTGTAACTCCATTGATGGGGACATAGTCAGTGGCTGGCTCCAATAATCTCTCTCTTGTTAAACCAAGATAGGTAGGATCCGTGAGGAATCCAGAGCTGCCATTGGGCCCATCTGACAAGTCTAATGGTGGAAGATTGGCCCAATGGCTAGTAGTTGCATCTATTTTCTTGCTGTTACCAAGCAAAAATGCAGAAACTGGGAGAGAAAAGCTCCACAATCTGTGGAACTGTTCCTGAGATAGGGAAAAGCAGAGCATAGCATTTTACACTCGGGAATGTCAACCACTGAGCTGGTGTGAAACTGCTATTCATCAAGCAGCCAAACTTTAGGAGTTATGAAAGAACTATATTGCTCTGTGTGCCTGCCTTCTGAGAGTCTAAGGCTGTCAGAAGTAGATCCTCCAGATAATGGAACCAAGTGGTGTTCTGGACTCTCAATATCACTATAAGCACATATAAAGATTCTTGGGGCTGCATTAATTTTTTTAACCTTTGTAACTAAAATGCTCCATTCCTTTTATCTATTTTGAAGCTCATCTCTGCACTTTTTCTAGTGCCATGATATCCTTCTTTAGAACAGGTGCCAAAAATTGCACAGCATATTCAAGGTGTGGTCTTACCAGCAATTTATAAAGAGGCAAAATTATATTTTCATCCCGAGAATTTATGCCCCTATTTATACATGACAAAACCTTACTGGCCTTAGGAACTGCAGATTGACATTGCATTTTGCTGCCTAATTTGTTGTCTATTAAAATTCCCAAATCCTTCTCGTGTGTGGTTATCCCTAATTCACTACCATTTAGGGTGTAAGTTGCTTGTGCATTCTTGACCCCAAAGTGCATAACTTTGTATTTCCCTATGTTAAATTTCATCTGCCATTTTAGTGTCCAGCCCCCCAATCTATCCAAATCCCTCTGCAGCAAAGCAATATCCTGCTCACATTTTATTACTTTACAAAATTTTGTGTTGTCTGCAAACACTGATACATGGCTTTCAATGCCTATTTCAAGATCATTTATAAATATGTTAAATATATTTATGTATTATTTTTACATTATGTGATATTAATTCTATATTGATCGCTGAACACAAATATGAGTGGTTTAACATGACATGTCATGATTCCCTTTTATTCCAGAAATTTGGTCCTTAAGGGGTTAAAGCAGGAAAACATAAATGATGATTATATCTTTGGTGAAAGTGCAGTTTTTGTGTGAGAAACGCAAAAAAGCTAAATGATATTTAAGGAGTGTGGGTGCACTTAATATGAAAGAGGTCAAATACGATTAAACAGGCCACTTCCTTAAACTAAACTTGACCAAAACTGAAATTCTGGTCTTTCCGCCCTCAAATGTTGTTACTCCTGTGTCTGTCTCCCTCCAAGTCAACGGTGCTACCATCAGCTCCACCACGCAGGCTCGCTGCCTAGGTCTCTTTGACTCCTACCTCTCCTTCAAGCCTCATGTTCAGTCTATCGCCAAATCCTGTCATTTCCATCTCAAAAACATTGCGCGCATCTGCCCCTAGTTAACGCCAGATGCGACTAAGGTGTTGGTCCATTCCACTGTCCTTTCTCGCCTTGACTGCTGTAATCCGCTTTTCAGTGGTCTTATGCGCTCCCAACTTGCGCCGTTACAGTCCATAATGAATGTAGCAGCAAGGCTCATCTTCCTGTCCGCCCGCACCTCCCATGCCTCACCCTTCTGTCAGTCCCTACATTGGCTTCCTATAAAATATAGAGCTCAATTTAAAATTCTGGTTCTTACTTTCAAATCGCTACATAATGCTGCTCCCACCTATCTATCCTCCCTTATACACAAGTATGTCCCGTCTAGGCCCTTACGATCTGCTGAAGACTTACGTCTATCTTCTGTCCGTACTCCCATCTCTGATGCTCACCTTCAAGATTTCTCGAGGGATGCACCGTTCCTTTGGAACTCGCTTCCCTCCTCCGTTAGATGCTCACCTAGTCTCCACTCCTTCAAAAAATCGTTAAAAACACACTTCTTCATAAAAGCGTATCAATTAAACTGTTAATAGCTCCCGACTGATTCCTCTTCTGCAACTGTCACTAGTCTAATACTGTCCTTTACCTTTTTGTGTCATTTTACCCCACTCCCTCTAGCATGTAAGCTCATTGAGCAGGGCCCTCAACCCCTCTGTTCCTGTGTGTCCAACTTGTCTAGTTACAACTACATGTCTGTTCGTCCACCCATTGTAAAGCGCTGTGGAATTTGATTGCGCTATATAAATAACATAATAATAATAATAATAGCTCAAATTCTAGGTTTTGTTTTTGTTCAGAACTTGTGCAGTTGCCTGCGTCCCTAAGGGGTTAAGTATTTTTCAGCTGCTGACCGCGGGTGGGAGTAGGATGCCTCCCTGTTTTTTGTTTAACAGACAGGTTGTGTCCCCACTATGTTATTTTGCAGGCCCAATACCAATGACTTTGAGAAACCAGCATTATTGTTTGTTGAAGGTCAGACATGTACATATCATTTTAGTACACCTGCACAATGTCTCTTGATGAGTTTATTTACTCAGCTGTGTATGCACAGATCTATGTAAAATTGTCTGGAAGAATTACTGTAGGATGCCCATGACACAATGTAATATCTTAAAACACAGGGCTCTCTTCAATGGTCATCTCTTTAGATGCAAATTTCTTATTTTTCAATTCATAGGTGTTAATTTAAATAATAGCAAAAATACTAAACAAAGGACTCTTTTTCTTTTTTTATATTTTTGCATACGTCAATGGGATTGACCACTTTACATTACATACAAAAAAATAGGATGTCCATGCTGCTTTTGATATAGTTATACTTCTAGAATTTTACACGAAAGCAGCTAATGTATACATGAAAAATCATTCCAAAGCATTTTGATACTCTGAAAATGGCATAATTGTTTCCATGCACCAATCAATTTGTATTCCATTATTTACAATATTCCTTACTGTGCCTATTATGTTATTTTATGTTCCATTCCATATTGGGTCTATATTTTATAAAGTTGTCACTACCTATGTATAAAAGAGGTGAAAAGGAGCTTTTTTTTCTTTTTCTTCTTTTTTTTTTTTCTTCTTTATTTTAAAACGGTGATGGTAAGAGACAGTTAACAGGCAAGATATTTGGTAGACTTGGTCAATGATTACCAAGGTACAGATAACATTAGGTGAGAGTGGTATACAACCTGGAGTGAGCATTATGAACATTAATATCTTGCTTTTGTCGTTTAAGCCATCGGTTCTCAATGTCCATATGTTTACTATGTGAGTGCTGTAAGGCTGTTTTTTTAATAATATTTTAATAAAACTTTACGAAATCCAATCCACATAGAACTTGAAGCACGTCATCGGCATTCACTGAGCCACTAACGTTATTGTGAGTCATGTCTCCAAGGCAAACCGCCCCCTGCACCCTCATCTACCATCTTGGTTGCCCAAATCTGTCCAAGGCGTCCATAACTTTTTAAAGGACCGAGTGGTGTTGTGTACTATTGTGGTCAGCTTGTCCATAAGATAATTGCCCTTTATTTATTGCATCACTTCAGGGTAGGTGTTCCAAGTCTTTGCTATCGCTCGTCTGGCTGCCAGCATGATTCTGTTCATAAGTTTCTGTTGTCTAGCTACCAGTCCTTACACAGGTCTAGCAAAGAAAAAAGCCCAATGGTGTCAGGAAGCCCTGAACCTAACTCCAGAATGGTTTCAATTTCTTACACGCCCATCATATATGGATGTAGGTGCCCCTCACCCCGCAACCTTGCCAACATAGGTTGGAGGCACCTCTGCCATGCGATATAATCTGAGCTCCTTTTCTAACAAATGTTTTTACCACTTTTCAGAATGATGCTTTTCTGAGACAGTAAAGCAGCTTCCACACTCCATATCCTCTTATTTAATGTGTAAGAAATTCATTCCGAATTCAAATGCTTTTTTAAAATTTTGGCAATATCATACATTTTTTCTTATTTTGTGTTTTATTGATGGTAAAGAAAATCATGAGAAAGGAGCATAGAATCCAAATGAGTAATAAAAAGCATTGGGGGAAAAAATAATAAATATATATATATATATATATTTCAAACAATAAGTTTGGCACTCTGCCTATTTATAGGGAAAAATAAAGATACTGCCAGGGTGCAAACCTGCGGTGTGTATGTGTGTATATGTGTGTGTGTATATATATATATATATATATATATATATATATATATAAAACAAAAGTAAAGGTGCACTCCTGGAATTAGTTTCGTTCTTCTGGTTTATTGTGCAAAAAAAGAGATCTTGAGAAAGACCTGAATAAGTCAAAACGTTGATAGTCTTTTTTGCACAATAAACCAGAAGCACAAAACAAAGTCCAGGAGTGCACCTTTACTTTTGTTTTATATATATATATATGTTTTTTTGCACTACAGAAAAAGCACGAAAAAAGGCACCAATGTGTAAAATGTAAGTAACCATTTTTTTGTAAGAAACTAATGCAAATGTAAAAATATTAGACATTTTTTAAATAATTTGTATAATATATTGATGTGTATTTGCACCTTTTCCTGAGTTGTGTTTCAAAGCTGTTATATACAGTAAACATAAACTTAAAGGAACACAATAGGGTCAGAAACACAAACATGTATTCCTGACCCTATAGTTTTAAAAACGCAATCTGCCCCCCAACCCCATTAACCATCAAAATATGGCAAAATCTTACTTGTATTCCAGTCTGCTGCTGCTGGCTCTGCCCTTGACATGCCTACTTATTATTATTATTATTATTTATAATGTGTCAACACATTCCGTAGCGCTGTACAATAAGTGGACTAACAGACAAGTATTTGTAACCAGACAAGTTGGTCGCACAGAAACACAGGGATTGAGGGTCCTGCTCAATGAGGTTACTTGCTAGAGGGAGTGGGGTATAGTGACACAAAAGGTAAGGGTAGGGTAGAAAGGTAGGTTGCTAGGATAGTATTCATTGGGGGTTTAGTGTTTTGTTTTAATGACATTGTTTGTTTTCATCAGAAGTGATGTTCTAAACCAATCACAATGCTTTCCCAAAGGAAAGCATTGGATTAACTGAGTATGTGAAAGGATGGAGATGAGGGGCAGAACCAGCACAAGCCAAACACAGCCCTGGCAAATCAGCATATCCTCATAGAGATGCATTGGATCAATACATCTCTATGGGAAAATTGATTGTCTCCATGCAGAGGGTGGAGACACTGCATGGCAGTGCTGCACAGTGTGTGTGCAGCACTGCATCAGGAAGCACCTCTAGCAGCCATCTGAGGAGTGGGCACTGGAGGTATCCCTACATTGTAATGTAAACATTGCATTTATTTTTTTAAAATACTGTGTTTACTGCAAAAAGCCTGAAGGGAATGATTATACTCACCGGATCAAATACAACAAGCTGTAGTGTCCCTTCAAAGGAATCCATGTTTCAAATGGAATAATGTTGCACAAATTTGCATATGCCTACCCAGAATCTCTTGGAGTAGCAACATCACTGTAAATTTTAGATTTCTGTGAGAAAAAGCAAGTCTTATGGCTTGATTGGTGTGTGCAGATCTTTGTTTAACGATGTATTGACTAACTATATATGTGTGTGTATATGTATATATGCATGTTTTTGTTTTTTTGTTCGTTCCCCCAGATACCCCAGTGTGTACAGTAAAACTTAAATGTGAAAATATTAGAGGACCTTCAGAAATGTTATGCAAAACATCTTTACTCATAGAACTGTGCTGTTACATGGCTAAAAAAAAGCTGACTGCGTTGGCCTTTCTTATTTCCATTTACAGGTAATTCGGCGGAGTGGAGACGAGGAAAAGCTGCTGTGCTTGGTGAGGGAGCGGGCTGGGCATTCCTGTGAGACAGCTGTGATTGTAATTCTGATATTGGTTTGGGAAGGAATTTCTGTATCGTTGGCAGACCGGTTATACTCTGAGCTCACGGAAACGTTAAGGAAATATGGAGCCTTGACAACCAGACGATGTGCGCGGAATGAAGAGTGAGTTGTAGAAGATTAAATAAATCTCTTAAAATGTGTTATGCACCTGCTGGATATTACAAAACTGATTTTTGGTCTTGTGACCTAATTTGTGAAATCGACACAAGGATTGCAAGACTTGGGATAGCATACAATCTCTAATACTATAAAAACAAGCCTCATAATTCTGCCAGTGATAACTGTACAAAACAGAATGAATTATATTTTCTTTCATCACAGCAGTTTGTGCACAGCACTGGCATTTGTTCTTTGATTAATGTGCTTGGCATACATACCTTGTTTCTAAAAAAATGTTTAGATTTATTTTTACTATGTAATCACAATACTTGCTTTAATAGTGCTTTTTTCTGATCATAATATCCCTTCTTCCTATATTGGTCAGCATACACACACTCACACACACCAACTAAAATGATGGCACTACCCATAGAGGGGTTTATTTCAGGGAGGGCAGGCTGAGAGGAGAGATGGGCTGATGGAGTGGGGTTCATGGTGCTGTTGGCTGTTTGGCATCGTATGCTGTTTGTGCTGGCGTCAGTTGCCAAATATGCACAGAATTGACATTAGCCAATTCTTGTTCTAGGCTGGCTTATGACATCCCAGTGATGCGGCTGGAGGAAGAGTTATACCCTCTGCAGCAGATGGCTTAAACTCTGTATGTGCAATGTTTCATAGCGAAACACTGCACATACAGTTTACAGGCACCATAACTACTTCAAATCAACCTTTTAATATTAAGGTTTTGAACTCTGATTTACTATGTACACTTAGAATGTTTTTTGTTTTGTTTTTTTAAATATATGTATATGTGCACTTTATAATTAAATCCATTCTCTTTCCAGGCGCACTTGTGCATGCCAGGGGCTGGACCCCGATACCTGTGGTGCCTCATTTTCTTTTGGGTGCTCTTGGAGTATGTATTACAATGGGTGCAAGTTTGCAAGAAGTAAAATCCCTCGGAAATTTAAACTTCTTGGGGACGATCCAAAAGAGGTTGGTGATCCTATATTTAGGATATAACATTCAGCAATATTTTACCCAAATATTACTTTTATGTAAATTCCAATATGGAAAGTGTAAATATAGCTAATTGTTATATCCTATTGCATTGATACTGCTGGGTATTTATATAAAAATGTGATGTGTTCTCTTATTTTCAGATTCACAGATTAATATCACCAATGGTTTCCTCTGGTCACTTAGGATGTGCTGCTTAAAACAATGGGGGGTTTTATTCACTATTAATGGCATTTCTTTTTCTTTTAAAACAATCTTTGTACAAAGTCTAAGGCCAATTAACACCACTTATTCCTTGCTGTGAGTAGTAGACTGTGTGCTATGAATCACTAAAGCCTTTTTGATCTCATCTCATGTCTATTGTGATGTAAGCAGACATTATCAGAATTGTCATGCTCCTGTAGGAATTATCTTGTGTTTTGGCACTGCTAATTTTAATTTACCTTTCTAAAAAAGAAAAGTATTCAGTGTGTGCCTTTCAGCCATGTCCTGCTGGTAGCAATGCTGTTTTGTTTACATTATATGCATATTAGTTGTTTGCTAAGTGTGTAAGCAATGTTTCGGCTTAACAATATTCCTGGTAGAAAGTAGGTGGAGGAGAGAGGCATGCAGAAACCTTTATTTTGTAGCAAGTCTCATATATTTTAAGAGTAATATGTCTAAACACAGATTATCTGACAAGAATTTGACTGCATAGAACTGTTTTAAGCAAACTAACATACATTGATTATTGAACACAGTGTAAGGCTCTAATTGAGTATAAAGCATGCAGTAATCAATAGGATAGTGTCCATATTAACATGAAAAAAAGAGCTGAGGTCAGCTTATTGTGTGGAAAAGTGTAAAGAACTGACTCGCCCACTGTTCTGATTAGTGTCTTACAAGGGTTGATTCACTAAACAGTGAACTGTTGAGACTTAGAATGAGGGCTGAAATTGCAAAGCTCTAACTATACCTGACCATATCTGTTTTAGCATAGATATTGAAAATTGAGTTCTCTATTCACTACATATTGATATTGATATTGTAAAGGTTGTGGGCCTTTGTTCTGAATTCATTTATGAAAGATGTTTCACTTTATTATCCACCATTGCATTGGAAAACTATTTCTATTGAGAACTCAAACATTTTCAGTAGTTCTAGTCATTTCAATGATGACTCTTAAATCACTCAGCATGCTAACCTAAAAATATATTCCGTCTTTTTATCAGTCAGGAAGCTGTGCATTATAATAGTACTCTGAATACTTAGGTTGGAGTGGCCTCTACTGCTCTGCATGTGCAAGAACAAAATATAAACAGTCACAGGGAATTATGAATGCTGCATCATAAACACAGCCAATTACATAGCAGCCAGTCCACATTACTCTAGCTGATTGATAAAAGATAAAATGAATTTGTTAGTTGGCAAAAGACTCAAAATCCCAATCTTTAAGGTAAAACATTACAGGGAGTGCAGAATTATTAGGCAAGCTGTATTTTTGAGGATTAATTTTATTATTGAACAACAACCATGTTCTCAATGAACCCAAAAAACTCATTAATATCAAAGCTGAATATTTTTGGAAGTAGTTTTTAGTTTGTTTTTAGTTTTAGCTATGTTAGGGGGATATCTGTGTGTGCAGGTGACTATTACTGTGCATAATTATTAGGCAACTTAACAAAAAACAAATATATACCCATTTCAATTATTTATTATTACCAGTGAAACCAATATAACATCTCAACATTCACAAATATACATTTCTGACATTCAAAAACAAAACAAAAACAAATCAGTGACCAATATAGCCACCTTTCTTTGCAAGGACACTCAAAAGCCTGCCATCCATGGATTCTGTCAGTGTTTTGATCTGTTCACCATCAACATTGCGTGCAGCAGCAACCACAGCCTCCCAGACACTGTTCAGAGAGGTGTACTGTTTTCCCTCCTTGTAAATCTCACATTTGATGATGGACCACAGGTTCTCAATGGGGTTCAGATCAGGTGAACAAGGAGGCCATGTCATTAGATTTTCTTCTTTTATACCCTTTCTTGCCAGCCACGCTGTGGAGTACTTGGACGCGTGTGATGGAGCATTGTCCTGCATGAAAATCATGTTTTTCTTGAAGGATGCAGACTTCTTCCTGTACCACTGCTTGAAGAAGGTGTCTTCCAGGAACTGGCAGTAGGACTGGGAGTTGAGCTTGACTCCATCCTCAACCCGAAAAGGCCCCACAAGCTCATCTTTGATGATACCAGCCCAAACCAGTACTCCACCTCCACCTTGCTGGCGTCTGAGTCGGACTGGAGCTCTCTGCCCTTTACCAATCCAGCCACGGGCCCATCCATCTGGCCCATCAAGACTCACTCTCATTTCATCAGTCCATAAAACCTTAGAAAAATCAGTCTTGAGATATTTCTTGGCCCAGTCTTGACGTTTCAGCTTGTGTGTCTTGTTCAGTGGTGGTCGTCTTTCAGCCTTTCTTACCTTGGCCATGTCTCTGAGTATTGCACACCTTGTGCTTTTGGGCACTCCAGTGATGTTGCAGCTCTGAAATATGGCCAAACTGGTGGCAAGTGGCATCGTGGCAGCTGCACGCTTGACTTTTCTCAGTTCATGGGCAGTTATTTTGCGCCTTGGTTTTTCCACACGCTTCTTGCGACCCTGTTGACTATTTTGAATGAAACGCTTGATTGTTCGATGATCACGCTTCAGAAGCTTTGCAATTTTAAGAGTGCTGCATCCCTCTGCAAGATATCTCACTATTTTTGACTTTTCTGAGCCTGTCAAGTCCTTCTTTTGACCCATTTTGCCAAAGGAAAGGAAGTTGCCTAATAATTATGCACACCTGATATAGGGTGTTGATGTCATTAGACCACACCCCTTCTCATTACAGAGATGCACATCACCTAATATGCTTAATTGGTAGTAGGCTTTCGAGCCTATACAGCTTGGAGTAAGACAACATGCATAAAGAGGATGATGTGGTCAAAATACTCATTTGCCTAATAATTCTGCACTCCCTGTATATGGATGTCTCACAAAACTCCATGTGATAAAAAAAAAAAAAAAGATATTTTGTGTCACATGTGGTGCGCTATTACTTTGATTGTCCAAATTAGATGCAGCAAAAACAAAACTATAAATATTTCTGTGCTGTTTTTGTATGTTTTGCCAAAGACATTCAGATTTTTTTTTTTACTTTGCAAAGATTTATGGGAAAACGTTTGTTTTTGTGTTTTCAGTCTGCTTTCTTTAGGAAGTATAGGACAGGAGAGATAGAGAAAAGGTCAAGCTTAAGTTAAATGCAGGATTTATTTTTGCAAATATATGCATGTGGTAATATACTTAAAGGATCACTATAGGTACTCAGACCACTTCAGCTTAATGAAGTCGTCTGGGTGCCTGGTCCAGCTAGGATTAACCCTTTCTGCTGTAAACATAGCAGTTTCAGAGAAACTGCTATGTTTACATTAGGGTTAATCCAGCCTCTAGTGGCTGTCTCATTGACAGCCGCTAGAGGCGCTTCCACGCTTCTCACTGTGATTTTCACAGTGAGAAGACGCCAGCGTCCATAGGAAAGCATTGAGAATGCTTTCCTATGGACTGGCTGAATACGCGCGTGTATCGTGCCGCGCATGAGCGTTCAGCCGATGACAGGGAAAAGAGGAGGAGAGTCCCCAGCACCGAGGGAGCCCGGCGCTGTAAAAAAGGTAAGGGATTAACCCCTTCCTCACCCTAGAGCCCGGCAGCAGGGGGGCCCAGAGTATGTTTTCCTGGCAATATAGTGGTCCTTTAAATCAGGAAACTTACAAATTCGAGGTACATACCTTGTTTCAAGCAATATGTTTGTTTCTTAAAATTGTTAATTTGCATGTAAATATTAAATGTTTAAGATTAATTTGGTACCTATTCCCCTCAGTATTATATTTGCTAGTCTCAGCAGATCCACATCAGTGATTCAACATTACAAATCTTTGTGCTTCTCAAATGTTCAAACAGACAGAACAGCCCCAATTTTGTATCCATATAATCCATCCCAGGTTATTTCTCGGCTTAATAAACCACTATCCCACTTGTATTTGTTGTTATGTGAGCAGGAGACAGATCATCTTCTAGGTTCTTAGGATTGCAGACCTATCAAGTCACACAGTAGCACTGAGTGACACCTGTTCTTCCCTCAGTCCTCCTTTTCACCTAAAAGACTGCCTATGTCACAATATGGTGGGAGAGCTGAAAAAAGTGCTTTGTGAGGACATCATGTGTCTGCATGTGCAAGACTTAATTTCTACACATCTAAGCCCATGCACGACTTCTTCAGCAGTGTTTCACATATAGGTAGCCCTGTATGGTTTCCCTCTGTCACGCAGTGCAGTCTTTCAACCTGCATGTGTGTGCCCTAGGATGAGAGACACATCTGTAGCAAGGCTGCTGTCTGTTATGCTAATATTGTCACTGCAAAAACAGAAAATATGAGAACTCTGAGAATGGACAAAAGCTTAGAGAAACTCAATAGCTTGCCCTTCTGTAAATCCTTGCTGAGGTCTCAAAATAGTTTTTTCTCACTTGAGCCATTACAGAGAGAACCTATACTATTTTCATATCAAACTGATCCCATTTATAAGGGCAGTCCAGATTTGAAATGCCAGCAAGTACCCTCTGCACGAAAGGTACAGAATCCCAGATAGCCTTCTTTGGGCCTTGTCAGTGAGGTGTAGCTGAAAACCCTCTAGGCCTATAGAGCACAGGGTCCACGTCTGGATTACCCTTTTGTAAATCCCGCTCAGGTTTTAAAATAGTTTTTGCTCACCATTACAAAGAGAACCTATACCATTTGCGTATGAAAATAATCTTGCCCATAAGGGTAGTCCAGATCTGAAATTTCATCACAGCCATGCCCCCATTCGTCCCTTCCCTTTTCCTGAAAACAGATTTACTAGAGCTGTGAGGTCTAGGGTGGCCTGAGAGGTATGAAATTAATAAAATATAATCTTTCACCAATCAGTTGCACTGCACCGATGAATGTGTTGCCATACAAACTAAATAATACATTAATTTTAACATATAGGTAGGCAATAATCATTTGTATCTATTTATTCTGATATCTCTATTTGTTAATGTGTTAACTGCAACTTACCTATTCTGGTATGAAACATGCTGAATACATTTTCATTCTTTGGTATCTGATGTTGAAACTCTGTGTAGCAAGGTGGTTCCTAATATGCATTTTCTGATTTACAGTTGTGATGGAAAAATGCCACTTCCTTATTTTATTTTGTATTAAACTTTTTTTTTTTTTTTTCTGCAAAGGAAGAAAAGTTGGAAGCCAGTCTACAGCACTTGTCAACCATGATGGCTCCAATCTACAAGAAACTTGCACCTGATGCATATAACAACCAGGTACCTACCTTAATGAAATAACTTAGACACTGATATAACCCATATTAGTATGATGTCGGCTATTAATAAAATGTGTCTGTACACACTGTAAAACTGTCTGTTTTTTTCCATTCTTAGTAGTATTCATAGTAGCAAACTATGGGGTGTATACTGACATTGTTATCCATAAAGCATAAACATCTTTGTTTGTTACTGAACCTTATTCCTTTTTACTAGCGTTTGTGTGTTTCCTATATATTAAAATAATAAAAACTGATTAATCTACGTTTCCCCTGGTGTGATTAAAAAATGTATTCCTTCCATCTTACAAATTTAGGCTATATAAAATGTTTTTGTACATGACTTTGTGCTTTGCGTTGCTAATCTTCATTTTACTCTCCTCTTCCAGATTGAGCATGAGCACAGAGCTCCAGACTGCCGTCTTGGTATGAAGGAAGGTCGCCCTTTCTCCGGGGTCACTGCCTGCTTGGATTTTTGTGCTCATTCCCACAGGGACTTGCACAATATGCAAAATGGCAGCACGCTGGTAAGTATAAGTGCAAATGTCATTGATGCTAGTTATTTGGGCGTGAGAGGTCCAGCACAATACATAGAAATTGTCTAGGTGTTTTTGGCATTATTAAAAAATGTAATGTTCCTTGTTTATGTAGTGCTTTTTTTTTCTTTTTTTTCTTTTTTTTTACAAATAAACACTTGTTCTGAGAAAGGGTGCCTTTATGTTTTAAAATTTATCATAGACTTTGTCACAAACCTGTAGAAATCATATTTCAGAAAATGGTGGGTGACATATCAATACATATATTTATGTATGTTGATTTAGTAAACACTAGTATGTACCTAATATTTCCTTTTTTTGTATGCTTGATAAATTGTAATACATGGTACTTACCATAAACCTCTAAAGTTATTGGGAATATTCTACATTCTATATTTCTATATTAATTGAAAAATATTCTAAGCTAATAAGCATATGCAGTTTGATTGGCAACAGTATCAATTGAAAAATGTAAACAAAAAAAAGTACCCAAAAACATCATTGTATTGTTCATGCTTTCAAGACATAATTGGAAACAAGAGAAAGTTTGACGTATTTTTCTGGTAAAACACGTTTTAAACAAATAATTAACACTTTGGAAACAGTCTGTTTTCAGTAGATTAGTCTGTTTTACTTGTATTTATTTTTCCAGTAAGCCAAAAAACTGTTTATGTTCCATTTCCTCAGGTTTGCACTTTAACCAGAGAAGACAATCGTGATATTGGCAAATTGCCCCAGGACGAACAATTGCATGTCTTACCTCTTTACAAGATTTCTGATGTGGATGAATTTGGAAGTACTACAGCTCAAGAGGAGAAGAAAAGTTCTGGTGCTATCCAGGTTCTTTCTCATTTTCGTAGGCAAGTGAGGATGCTAGCAGAACCAGTAAAAACATGTCGGCAGAAGAAATTGGAGGCCAAAAAGGCAGCAGCTGAAAAATTGTCTGCATCTCTTGAAAACGGCAGTAGCAAAAATGAAAAGGAGAAGCCTTCACGCTACAAGAATTCACATCTGGAAACTGCAGCACATGAGAAACAGCTGGCAGGTATTGTATGCCTTTTAGATCTTTACTACTATCTGTTTGTCTTAGTCATGGTTAAATAATGTGTCTGATATAGTAATTTTCTACTTAAAGCAGCTCTGTGACCTTCTGGGGTCTTTGCATGTTTTGCAAAGGCTTTCGATAGATACATCGCTACTTGGTGTGCAGTATCCCTGGGGTACAGCAGAGGTGAGTTATACATACCTGATACAGTTCCCAATAGGTGTCACCATCTTCAAACTTCAGCTCATGGTGCTTCATCTGTCAGTAGCTCAAATCTGTGCTGTGCCCTCCCACATGCACAAGAGTACAACACTGAAGTCTATGGAGCATTCGGTGAGGCTCCTTAGATATTTTCTCACAATAAGTGGGAAAAAATGCCTTAGTCCCACTTTTGTTGTTTGAGCGTTGATGTTGAAGTTAGCAATATGAGTTTTGTTTGTTTGTAATACTGTATGTTTTTTGTTTTTTTTGTAATTTATTTACATTGTATGCCTGGTTGTCCTCATGTTGTGCGATTTAAATTAAAGCGACATTACTGGCACCCATACCAATTCATCTCATTGAAGTGGTCTGGTTGCAGGGTCCCTGTCCTGCTTAGTCCTGAAATGTAAAATATTGCAGTCCAGATTCGAAATGCCAGCAAGTCCCCTCTGCACGAAAGGTACAGAATCCCAGATAGCCTTCTTTGGGCCTTGTCAGTGAGCTGCCTCTAGTTGCTGTCTACCAGACTTAATTCAACCTGATGCCCCTATGAGTTGAAACGTGAATGACACAGGCAGCAGGAGTTGATTGATATCCTGGCACCTACTGTCTGCTTCTATCCCATGATTCACTTCTGCTAGACAAAAGGGACATTAGCTATAGCCTCCTCTCTATCAAACCCAGTGCTGACATGCAGGTAAGCTGAAGGTAAGGAGATGGCTTTATCCTCAATAAAGCTGTCTTTGTATGTGACTGTGTCCAAATATCTATATATATATAGATGAACACATGACATATTATGCTGTGTCATAATTTTTTTTTTTAAACAAAAATAAAGCCAAAATGGAGCAACCATGTACCTGACAGGCATTGCTAATCAAATCGCCTTTGATTAATTGATCATCAGTAAGTGTGACCACCTATGTCAAAGCTGAAGTGTTATCAAGTTGCTGGTCTGGAGCATTCATGTGTGTGTTAACACAGTGCCAAGGAGAAAAGACATCCGCAATTATTGTGTACAGTAATTGTGTATAGATTATCTTAGAGAAGCAAATGTTGCTGCCCATCAAACGTGGAAGGGTTATAAGGCCATTTTTAAACAATTTAAAGTCCTTCATTCTAAAATTTTAAAAGTGGGAAACTTTCAAGACAGTTTCCAATCTTCCCAGGTCAGAATGTGCAATCCTCAGCGAAATTGCAACAACAAAAAAATGTTAATCTCAGACCCTACAAGTCTCATTTTTGTGATATGTTAACGTTCATGACAGTATAATTAGACTGGATAAGTATGGTTTGTTTGGAAGGGCTGCCAGGAGAAAACCCCTTCTCTCTAAAAAGAACATAGTAGCATGGCTTGGGTTTGAAAAGTTGCATCTAAATAAAGCACAAGACATATGGAACAATGTCTTTAGAACAGATGAGACCAAAGTGTAGATGTTTGGCCTTAATGCACAACACCACGTTTGTGCTGATATGCTGTGTTTGGTTTTCACCGAACAAATCATACCAACAGTCAAGCATGGTGGTGGAGGGGTGATGATTTGGGCTTGTTTTGCAGCCAAAGGACCTGGGAACCTTGCAGTCATTGAGTTGACCAAAGTATTCTACAGTCAAATGTGAGGCCAGTTATTGCTGCTAAAGGTGATTCTACAAGCTACTGAATCATAAGGTGTACTTAGTTTTTCCACACATGGCTTCTCCACTTTGACTTTATTTATATTAAATCATATGCCATATGTTGTTGTTCATCCTAATTTTAAGCCCTGCTTAGGAACAGATGATTATGTCCTGATATGTAAAACCCTAGAATTGAAAAAGAGTGCCCTTTTTTCACTTGGCTGTATATGTGTGTGCATGTGAATGTGCATGATTAAGTCTATGTATGTGTGTGACTGTGTACATATGTAACTTGCTGTGTGATTTTTGTCTATGTATGGGACCGGGTGTTTAATTGCATAACTTTGTATGTATTGCACTGTGTGTAACTATATATTTGTCAAATGATTGATCTGCTAGGTGAATATCTAGTTATATCTGTATGTGAGGGTAAAGCATAGAGGAGTGGGTGTATAGTCTTAACTTAGTCTTGATGATTAATTTAATTTAAAGCCTTTATCATCACTATATCAGAAATGGCTATTTTATAAAGATAAATTATTTATGAAATACTCACATTCACTGTGGTGAAATTTCACATGGAATTTTGCTTGTAATTTGCCCCAGCCAACACCAGAAAATAGCTCTTTCCATGGAGGAGCTTGAGTGATCCTCCATAGACCTTAATGCTGTACTCTTGCATATGTGCGAGAGTACAGCGCTGACGTTTGCTCCTGTCGGCTAAAGCACCAGGAGCTAAAGAGGACTGCACAGAAGAGATCGGCGGCACCCGCAAGGGGCAAATTCAATATAACCTACCTTCACCCTATGTTACTAGACTCCCAGCAGCGACGCAAATGTTGGGGGTCACTGCAAATCATACAAAGATCCCAGACGGTGAAAGACCTGCTTTAATATGGCAACCTTTTCAGCTTTTAATGACATTTAAGCTTTTGTGATGGCATATAATTCAGAGTAAACATCTTTTTATTTTTATTATTTGCAGATCTGTTGAGAAATTCAAGACCAGTTATGCAGCACAGTTCCATTCCTAATGTCAACCATACTAATCCCATGGCCTCATTTTCAGGCTCAGATCATTATGCAAGCCTTATGGATCTTTTCCATGCCCCTCCTAACTCAGCAGTTGCTTGTGCCTCCAATCTCATGAATCCTTATCAAGGATCATTAAATCAAGGTAGCCCATGTCCTCCTTACCCATGTAATGGAAATGTTCCTATGGAAAATTGTTCAAATTATATTGGCCCTTACCCTCCACACCCACCTCCTATTGACTTATATAAGTTTAAAAACCAAGACTCCATGAATAAATTAAGCTTGCCTCCAGTCCAGTCATTGTACCAGCAGAAGTTCACTAATAACCAAACATATGGCCACAAGTACTTGAATTATGGGAACGAGGACATGCAAGCTGATAATTTTAATGGATATGATCATAAACTAACTTCTCACCCTGCAGGGCATTTTAACCCTTATTCTTTGCATTCATCTGATCATTTGTTAATAGATGGTGCTTCAAAATCCAATTTATTTAATCCAGATTACTCCTCCATGAACAAAAATGGTGACTTTACCTTTCCACACTCATACCGGCCTCATGAGACATCAAGTACCTTGGAAGGCAGAGCTGGCTCTCTGCATCCTTATGGTGAAAATGGTGAAATAAGCTCACATGCAGCCAATGGAATATCAAAAATGCTTCCAGGTCTAAACCATGATAGGACTACGCTTGGAGGCCTCACAAGAACTAATGGTGCTAATGTTCATGAAAAGTTAACACAGGCCACTACTTCAGTACCAGAGGAAAAAGAAGATGTTTGGTCAGATAGTGAGCAGAGCTTTCTGGATCCTGAAATAGGAGGCGTAGCAGTTGCCCCAACTCATGGATCAATTTTAATTGAATGTGCAAAGCGTGAACTCCATGCTACAACCCCATTAAAGAACCCCAATAGGAATCACCCTACCAGAATATCCCTTGTGTTCTATCAACATAAAAGCATGAATGAGCCAAAGCATGGCCTGGCGCTATGGGAGGCAAAGATGGCAGGTAAGGCCAGGGAAAAGGAAGAGGACTGTGAAAAATATGGCCCAGACTATGTGGCTCCAAAATCTTACAAGAAAGCAAAGCGAGAACCCATTGAACCAGCACATGAGTCTGGCGAACCAGCTTATCTTGGTTTCATTAAATCTCTCTCACAGAGGACAATGTCACTTACCACAGATTCACTTGTCATGTCATCTCCTTACGCCTTAACACGAGTTACAGGTCCTTACAACAGATATATGTAGTCTGCTGGGTTACCTCATTTACATCTAAGTGGTGCAAGATTTTTTTTACAGGCTAGGCAGTGTGGTTGTGTGGAATGTGCATTGTACAGAGGAGAGACAGTATTTGACTAAACCAATCTGGGAATGAATACCAGCAATGCAAGTTTTATATTTAATATCATTGTTTTCTTCTTTAACTTAGAGATGGTTACAGGATGTGTTGAGGAAGAATGTAAAATCATCCTATGCAAAGGTGTTCAAAAGATATTGAAAAACAAAACCGGTTTTAGTGGATGAATTATAAAAGTATTTTTTTATCTTTCTCCTCCAAAAATTGTACATCTGTGATCACTTTTATAGAAAAGAAATATAGTGTATAGCTAGGAGCCAGAGCTGAACTTACTGTAGTGTTTCCACATCAGGAATCTTACAAATAACATCTGGTGCTGAATTCCTGTTGTGCTAAGTAATACTGGAAATGCAATTTTTATTTTAAATTTTTTTGTTTTGGTTTTTATATACGTGGTATAAAATTGACCTCCGGTGTATGTAAGTAGTCTAGATGCACAGTTTTTATTATAGAGGGAGGGAAAACAACAACAAAACACTGAAGATATCTGGACATTCTTTGGAAAGATTGGTGCTAAAAAGAGTGTCCTTATAAGTCTATATGTTTAATGCCTTGAATAACATACACAATTTTAATGAGAATAAATTAATTGAAAAATTATTTTTTACATGTTAACCAAATCACTCTGCATTTTAAAATGTCAGTTTATAACTCTTTTGATTTATATTCATACTGTTTTACACTTAGTATTCCTTTTTTTTTTTTTTTTTTTTTGAATCAACATATAATGTGTTCATTTTAACAGATGAAAGGAGAGCGGCTTAAATAATCCCTATACTGTCTAACATCTGTTTTTGTATATATTCTGTTTCCCCAGGAAAACTACAAAGAAAATGTTACATTTTCCTGCCATTGCTATATGTGCAAAGACTTTTATATATATTTTTTTGTTTGTTTTTCATTTAGATGTGTATACAAACTAATAACATTATAAATCTGAGCAAAATACATATATTTATATTTTTAATCATGCTGAGGAATACAAAAGGAGAAAAAAGCTAGACCTTTGAGAACAACCTAGAAATCAACAGCCTTTCCGATTCTAGAAAGGGACGTCACATTTATAAATCTTATATTATTATTTTTTTTTCGCTTAATATAATTCAATGTTAATGTTCTTAAACCGGAAAAATATAGGATTTTATTTTTAATGGTGCTTTACTGTATTTATTAAGTAATTTACTTTTTAAAACTTTAAACTGCGTTTTTATGCACTTAAATACATATTGGCATATACATGCAATCAAAATCTTGAGCATCTTACAAAGTTTGTGTTCTGATTAAACCCGACTACCGTGCCAACTACCATAAGCACATTATTGGTTTCCTGTTGCATTGCAAATTAAGATTAAATAAACTCCAAATATATTCACCTACACTCCAGTGTTGGTCTCTGCCAGCTGAGAAATGTCTCACATTGCTCTTTGGTCAGTTCCTCTGCTCTGCATAGAGGATGGACTGTAAATGAGTTAGAAAACCTTCCACGCTCCACAGGGAACTGTGGATTACTGTGAACAGCACCCGAACAATATGTAGGGAGGATGTTTGAATTTCAAGTGTCTGGTCTTAAACTGACAACTGTAGTTACTGTATATGGGTGTCGCTCAAGATATCTGTTTATTTTTAGTTGCATGTACTCAAACATACGTACAAAAATGGCATTTCTGCTTCTCTGTTGGTATTTAAGGTAAAGGATACAATATAACCTCTAATGCATTATATTTCCCCCAGTGCTTTTGCACAGGATAACAAAAACAATCTATTTCCTTGAGTTTACAGAATTACATGTTTAGATGTAGATTTAACACAGTCTAAAATAGTGTTGTTGTTTTTTGTTTTTTTTTTATCATTGCATAGGATGTATCCAAAAATAACTGTGGTGCAGGTATTTTTAAAAGGCCAATATATTAGGGAAATAACAGAGCAGCATATCATTAATTCACTGTAATACTGAGAGAAGATTTACCTTTATCTATATATTTACAACCTATTTCTCCAATGCACAAAAAATGAAGTAATTTCCAGCAGAGCATGAAAACAGTAGTATTGGGAGTAAATATGTAAAACAACATTTCCTACAGTTTTTTTTTTTTTTTGTTTACCATGTTGATTAGCTATGTAAGTCATGTCACAAAATGGTGCCAATAAGTGAGTGCTCAACATTTTTGCATTTCCTTTGAAATGTGGCCGATTTTTATTCTGTATAAAGCACCAACAGATTTTGCAGCCCTGTACATTAGGTAGACTAAAAAGCAAGAGTTGGAAGAGAAGGTACTGAGGATCTTGCTCTGGATTTAGCCTCAAGGTTACATAATTACACTATTGAATTAACCATTTAAGTCAAAATAGTATTATATTTGACAATTTATGGAATGATTTATCAAGTGAGAACATGTGACCTTGTGTGTGCAAAGTGCTAAATGTTGAGAAACATTATATTGGTTTATATGGGGATTTTACTTATTTGACACATTATCCCAGAACAGTATCTGTATTTGCCTTGATAATTTCCCCCGTCATAAGCTTTAAATTAGTAGTAGTGCTATTTTTATGGGTCATAAAATTGCATACCACCCAAAAGTTCAAGTGAACAAAAGGGGACACTTTTTCATTTTAGTGGTGTGGGGTACGGTTGGCTGTTCTGAGGAATATTAGGTGAATTACGAATTACAATTTATGCAACTAAAATATAATTTAGAACTAGAACCATGTATCTAATATACACAGACTGATTTCTCGACACATTACCGTAAATTGTATTGCTCTGGAGCTCTGTTATACACTCATTTGGGCCCTAAATAGGGACATTTGAGAGGTATGAAATTGCAGATATGATCGCAGTACATGTGACAAAGCTTTAACTATAGCCTCTGTGTATTTGTGAAGCACGTACACCAGAGTGCTAAAGGATGCTGTGAATTAACTTTGACAATGGAATAGGTAGCACATGCTCTTCTGTTCAAATATAAAGCCTCCTAAATTAATATGATAGCTAGGCATTATGCAACAAAAAGACCTCATGTGGTGCAGATGAACTAGTCATGTGAGTTTTTTAAATTGTTAGTCTGTACTGTTCACAATACTGCTAGTCCAATATAAAGACTGTTTTGAATGCTCTGCATACAATAAGTAGATTTAGAAGAAGAAAAAAAAACTACATCTGAATTTAAAATGTATGTCGTAAGAGATGCAGAGATGGATAATAATCAATGATTAGATACAAATAAAATGCAAATGGCAGGGCTGGTGGCACTGTGCTCATTAAACAAAAAGCTATGTTATTTTGGTATACCAATGATTTTTGCCATCTACCAGTTATACCCCCCTCTGTTTCTACTTTCAGAAATATGGAGATTTTAAGGTCCAGTTGTGTTTGACCAAGAACGTTACTGTAGACTGGCATTCTGAATCTCACAATATAAGTGTAAGCTTTCTTGTGATGTTTTATGATGTGAATTAACTATACATTTCACATAGGCCAGACTTCTAACTTTCTATATAGCAGTGAGTAGGGGCTCGTAATAAAATGGAAATTTTGTGTAACGATTATTGATCATTTAATAGTTATTTAACCCCTTAAGGACACATGACGTGTGACATGTCATGATTCCCTTTTATTCCAGAAGTTTGGTCCTTAAGGGGTTAAAGGCAGCTGTATGTTGAACTCTTTTATTCTGGGGATTAAGGATCCACTGTCTAGTTTTTTATTTATTCACCGTGTATTATTATTATTAGCATATTTACATATCATCAGTATATTCCGCAGCTCTTTACCAGGGGTAAGCAACCTTCAGCACTCCAGATGTTGTGGAATACATCACTCTTTATGTTCTTACAGCCATAATGCTGGCAAAGCATCGGGGGAGATGTAGTTAAGACAATATGGAGTGCTGAAAGCTGCTTACCCCTGGTCTATACAATCAAAGAAAAGGGGTATTTGGAGATTGAATATATATATCGTTGGGTGTCTTGTTAAAGGACATTTACTGGTAAGGTGTTCTCACCAGCATTGAAACCTAATTTTCCCTGTTCTATGATATCCTAAAGTTTCTAGTAATTATACTCACCCATCTATTTGCCTTTATTTATACTTTCTACTTTTTCTACCTTGCTGGGAGCTGCCACTTTGTAAATGTTGGTCCATATCTGTGGTTTGACCTTCTCTGGGCATGTGCTTAGTCATGCACACTCTACAGATAAGCACAAGTCATGCTTTCTATTACATGAGATTGATGTTCTATCAAATTCCCCTACCTGTGAAAATTCCCTACCCTCGTCACATCCGGTGAGGGGAATCAGCTGGATCCTGTGCTGCACATGCGTGCTAGCACTCCTGCTACTCCTCCACAGCAAGATCCTGGAAGGTAAGTAAAGCTAGTTTTACACTTTCGTTATAGTTAGTGCATTCACTAAGCTTAGGCACACGGGACATTTAGGGTTAATGTTAGGGTTCAAATTAGGGTTAGGATTAGGGACTTGTTTTTATTTAGTGATATTTCACATTAGGGGAATATCTATAAATTGTGAATTTTCACACTTTATTTTAACCCTTACCTCAAGGGTTAGGGTAGGAATAGAGTGTGAGAGATGTTAAAATAACTCACCTAACCCTAATTTGAACCCTCACTTAACCCTAAATGTCCCGTGTGCCTAAGCTTAGTGAATGCACTAATTATAATGAAAGTGTAAAACTAGCTTTACTTACCTTCCAGGACCTTGCTGTGGAGGAGTAGCAGGAGTGCTCGCACGCATGTGCAGCACAGGATCCAGCTGATTCCCCTCACCGGAAGTGACGAGGGTAGGGGATTTTCACAGGGTAGATTTTTATAGAACATCGGCCTTGTGAGAGGATAGCCAGGACAGAGGTTACTAATTCATCGAACACTTTTACTTTTGGGTAAATTAGCTTGGCAACAAAAATCGAACTTTGCTAAAGCCAAATTCCCCACTTTAAAGTAGTGCATTCAGTAACATGACCTACCCATTGTACAGTGCTATGGAATTTTGCTGGCGCTATATAAATAATAAAATAAACAATCATTAATAACCGTTGCAGTGTATATACAGGTAGGTATATTACTTAAGAAATAATGTCATGAGTAAACACTGCTTCTCTAATCTCTAGATGAACAAAGTTTTGAATATGTCTGCTGCAGGTGCTTTTCCATGAGACGTTACAATGGGAGTTCAGCTTTGCCTAGAGAATGTGATCTCTAACATCATTTGGCACTGCTGACATTCAGTGTACATTCTTCTTGACAAATTAGAACTCCCTGCTGGCCATCTGTTGATAGATATACAAAGGTTTATTTGTAACCATTTCTCAATTAGGCACAATTTGACCTATTTTAAAGAAAATAGAGAAAATGTCCAATGTTCATTCTTTATCATCACCACCAGCCCAATTTTACATCCTAATCAGTAGCCTTGTTCTTGGCTAGAAATATTCTTGTAGGTAAAGGTAATTGTTATGTGTGTATTTGCAGAACTGGTGGGTTTACTTGGAGTCTTTGTGTTTAGTATATCCACCTCAAATTCCAAAATAGGAAATGTAGGATTATTTTTTTTTTGCCCCTTCAGAGTGCATAAAAACAGGAGGCTTTGATAGTTCTTTGAATGTCTCAGTCTCTTAATTATAGAAATACACACATTCCAAATCAATAAAACCTTCTAGTAAACATTGACATTAAGGAAGATAAATGAAACAACTTGATGAGATGGCTAATAGTTTAAAAATAGTACCGGTAATTACATTCTTGTAGAGCAGAGATGTTCCAAATTGAGTCCGGTACATTATCTGTATTCAGTAAGCATGTATTAGGATTAAATTCTGCTGTATTTTATCCTTATTTAATAGGTTGAACGTAAAAAAGTTGGTTAACAAGGGTAATTAGCTTTTTTTTTACTTTTGTAGTAAGAATATGATCCACTTTACATTTGTCATGTTACAATGATAAATAACTTGTGGATAAGATGTTATGTTATTTTTGGTGCACATTAATCCATGTATATTTTAAATAATGGAAACCTTGCATTTAAAAATGCTTTAATGTCCAGAATTATTTAAATAAATTGCTCAGCTATAGTTAATGGTTTCAAAGCATGCAAAAACTCCTCCCCACGACAATAGATTTTTTTATTCTTTGGATCTGTTTTTTTTTTTTTTTTTAGAAGGAATATATTTATAGTTTCAGCCCAGCAGCATCTCTGACTGTCACAAACAATGGCCTTGTGATATGGGAGCATAATTTTTCAACCTGCTCTCCTTACTTGAGGACAAAACAGGCAACACGTTAATAGCCAGACAAATTAGGCAGCTGCTCTTTCAAGTTAGATTTAAGATTATGAATTTATAGAAGAAGAAAAAAAATCATTCTTGTACAATAAACTTTTTTTTTCTTTTCGTACTGTATTTTTATTTTCTTGCTTTTAGGTAACAAAAAAGTAAAATTGGAGGTAATTAAGCTTATTTTTTAATGGTGCTACTCAGCCTGATACCAATGATCATAATGTGACTTTAATACAGATTACAGGTCTGAGTGATGTTTCTACTTGTCATATACCTCAGCACTAGTTTGGCAGTAGAACATTCAGTAATCGAGTGGAAGAGTATTGCATAACACCAGTATTCCCCAACCACCTAGGAAACAAGAAATAGCTAAACAAAGAAATTCAAATGTTTCTTAATACTTGATATCTTAGCAAGTATAACTTGAACTTCAATCTTTTCTTCTAAAAATTCAGGGATATTTCCGCTTGCATTCTTATTATGCCAATGTATCATGTGTTTCTGTGAGGTTGTTTAAGGCTAATACCGTTTTTATTTTGATATCTTTCTCTTTGGGGATAATGCTGTTTCGTCCCTGTTTTAAGTTTGCTTTTACATGTTTTCACAGTTGTAAATTAAAACATGTTGTAAATGTGCTGTTTTTTTTTTTCTTCTTTTCTTGTAAATATGTACAGCTTAGGATATTTGTTTCAATTTCCCCACAATTATGAATGCACTGAGCTTAAATTAAAGGGACAATTTTAAGGCAGGGGTTTGGCAAGTGACAGTCTTACATGATTTAGGTACCATACCATGTCACTGGTTTATACCAGTGTTATTTGCCATTGCCTTGGATTCTTCAAATGCATGCCTAATTTAGCACTCATTGAAATGGCTGTAATGGTGAAGGTAAATGTAGTGTGAATTCTGAAGATAGAACCTCAATATGAATTATCATATTGGGAGGCTATTTATTTCATGTTAGTGATGAGCTAGCCTTAGGACCCCAGGTATTTGTCAACTGCATTACCAACATGCTCCACAGGTCTAAAAGCAATCTCTGCTAATCTTTGAACCTCTTCCCCCCCCCCACCCCCTTTGTAGTTTACACACAAACATCAGACTCAGCTGTTCTAGACTATGGAGATCTTGTGTCTGTTGTGTTTGTTTTATCATGAGATTGAAATAAGTAGTGAGACCTTCATATCCATGTACATGTACACTGTTGATGGATGATAAGACTAGAGCTGATGAGATTATACTGAAATGTACTCTACTTGCACAGTTTACCTGTGTGTTTTATCTCTGTAAAGGTTTGACATTCTGTTGGAAACTGTTACAATAGTTACATGTATGATTGGGCTTCTGTCTTAAACTAGTTGATTATAAACATAATTTTAAAAGTCCTGCTGTGCAATAATCAGAATGCTTGGAATTGTCCTTACAAAATCTCACTGCAATTAATTGTATTATGTTGTCCTCTTTATATATAATTTTTTTTTTAATTATTATTATTTTTTATACACAAGTCACGTATATTCAGAGACACATTTATTTTTAAATGAATGTGGTGCTTGCACACATGGGAAAAACCTTTTAAATATGTATTGTGCTTGTTTACAGAAGTTTTGTTTTAAACATAAATAGGAGAATTTCTGTTTATCTTTTCTAGATCTGAAACTCTTAAGGTATTTGCAAAAACTGATACGTGATTTATATTTGTACCAAATTTTAGAAGCTGTGGACTTCTGGGTGCACATTTATCATTTAGCAGGAACTTGATTGTATTGATTGGCAATGGTATTCAGGTGCTTGTTCTGTGAGGATAGTTAGACTTAATAGAAATGACATCATCATTTGTCATTTCTGTTTTATTTTAGACACAACACACACCGTCATTTGCCAAACTGCTTGTTAAAAGTGTGTGTGTGTAATAAATTTTATATATATATATATATATATATATATATATATATATATTATCATAATATATAATTTATTACACAGCATGTTATGTAAATATAGGCTGTAATTTTGGTGTACAGATCTACATGTAAAAGCAGACATGATATAGCTTGTATAGGAATTTGCCAGGTTGATTATAGCCATACTTGAAAACACTTTGAGTGGTGTCAACTATACTTGAACGAATCTTTTCATCTTGATGCATGCACCACACTATATATGTGTGTGTGTGTATGTGGGATTCACTTCTAAGCTAATGGTTGACTTGTACAGAAAATCATGCAGTTTGACACTAAAAGTAATGAATTTTGCGTGCATTTTTTTTTTTCTTTTTACATTTTTTTTTTTTTTTCACTCTTAAATGGCAGCAAGATGTGGAACGCACTGCAAAGCAAATGCGTTGGGTACACTTCTGGCATTCAAGACCACCATGTTTTGTTTTTCATCAAATGTTGGTATATGTATAAAACCTGATGATGGTTATAAATACTGTAAGTATTGTAATGTAATGATGCAGGCTATTTGAATACTGTTTATTATATCATTCCCGATAATACTGAGATGTGGGTGTTTTTAATAAAAAAAAAAAATTATATTTATTTAATGCATTTTAAGGCTGAGTTGTGTATAATTTCTTAAATGAGGTGTTTTCTTGTCAATAAAGCATATGCTGTAAAATGGTTTCATCAGATGTTTCGCACAATGGCTTTTATTAGGTTTCACCATGCATTTCCCAGACCATTTTCTAGTAACTTTGTTCAAATAAAGTTCCTTTTGGGAAAAAAAAAAATTTTCACCTAACTACACCAAACATATACTTTTCAAAGGTAGACGATATTGTTGGTGTTATTCATCAGACACTCAATGCAAAAGTGAGAATTGTTTTTAAAGCGGCACTGTCACCGCCTTGGGATTTTGCAGAATTTGCCAGATGAAGGTGAGGGTGCATACATGAGGGTACAACTACAGACCGCGAGATTCTCCATAGATAGGCTCAATTCCCTGCAGTCGTCATTAATGACAAGTGGGGGGATTGACACTTCTAGACGCCGTTAGCTCCGCTTAGTGTCTAGAAGTATAAGACAGAGAAAATATCCAGAGAAAAAGTAATCCCCACTTTGTCTCTGTATATCTCTTGACCGGGTTGGAATTTCAGTGAAATTCCAACAGTCAAAATGGGTATTTCTTAAAGATTCTATCTATATGAAATACTATTTTTTTCAAGGGTGTGACCATGCCGCTTTAATGCAAATTTAAAGCCAAAATTACAAAGCATAGCTGATTTGCAGAAATTCAGTTATTCCAGGCTATTTTTGGCCTTAAATTTTTAATTCACTTGAACTTCCCAACAACTATTGCTTTGGTTCATAACCCTGGGTATTGTACCTGCATATATTTCCTTTTCTATTCCTCACAGAACAATTTGTCTGTATTCTGTCCCCTTCCCTAGTTCTTTCATCTATTTTATAGATCTACATTCTATAACCGTTCTATATTCCCTCTCATCCTTTCTGTCTTGGGTTTCTTCCCTAAATTGTAAAAAATTATTAATGTTTTCCTATCTTCTATCCCTTTCTTCTTTTAGTTCCTTTTTCTTCTACATTCGGTCTCCTTGCCCCTTTGTAAGGTGTTTTTTTATTTGCAATCTATCAAATAACAAGATCTTGTCATTTGAGGACAAACTAACCATGCAGCACTATATAAGAATATATCCAAGCTATGACTGTAGTATATGGAGGGGTTACAGTTTAACCATATTCCTATTTTTCCTCTTACCCTAAGCTTTATTTGAATATAAAAATTGACTTACTGCTTCTTCTGTGTCTGCATTCATCTTTAATTGTTTGTGCACGTTTTGCAATTGAAAAGTTGAAAGTGCTGTAGAGCTGAGACATCGCCCAGGAAGATGATGGTGGCAGTCACAAGGGATAGTGTCAAGTATTGTGGATACCGAAACAATGGCACCTTTGCAACATTTACAAAAAAATATGCACATTTCAGTAATTTAACTGCAAGTAGAACCTTTTCTCCTTACTGAGAAAAAAATAGCAATATAAAATGGAAGGGTTTTTCCGCAGTCAGAGTCTATCCTCCAACACCATAGGCAGAGGAACAGAAAAACCTTTTTTTTGCCACCAAGTACTAAGGTTTTGCCACCAAGTACTAAGTCGAAGGGGACAAATACTTATTTCACTCATTGACATGCAAATCAATTTATAACTTTTTTGACATGTGTTTTTCTGGAATTTTTTTTTATTATTCTGTCTCTCTGTTAAAATACACCTACCATTAAAATTATAGACTGATCATTTCTTTGTCAGTGGGCAAACATTAAAAATCAGCAGGGGATCAAATACTTTTTTCCCCTCACTGTATATTTATATTGCAAATGTCAGACAACTGCCTATTTAGATACAGTTTTTGGCAAGTAATGTATGGTATGACATAATGGCATCAGAGACCAAAGCCCTTATGTGCATTATACCAATTACTTTTAAATTTCTATTAGTATACAGATAGAATTGTTTTACTATCCCAATGAAAAATGTTTGAGTTATACTTTCACTTTAAAGAACAAAAATAATATAATATATTTTTTTCCACAGCATTAAAACCAATTGTAGCTCAGTCACACAAGTATTGTAACAAAGTAATAATGTATAGCGACAGCATAAACACGCATACTTCCTTCTGGGCTTGTTCATCATGAAGCTCAAGATGGCAGATGTGGAAGTGCTAACGAGAACTTGTTGGGCCTGTGGCTTTTCTATAAATCAATGGATGCTTAATCACATTTCACCTTTTATTTCCCCAATGTCCGGTTCATTTCATTCTTAAGGAGGTTGAAATATCCAATCTGCTGATCCTTGAAAGACTTGGTAAAGTTTGCCTAGGGTCGATTCCCTTGGTAATTAAAACTTTGCTGCTAGTTGCAATCATCAGTTGTTGAAAACACATAAATTACTAAACTTGACACAATTTACCCTGTGCAAAAAATATTGCTGGTGGTGACATTAGCTTGTTAATAATAATTGTATGCTATTTATAATTCAGATTTTTGGGTCATTGAATAAACCTTTAACATTAGTTGAAAATATTAAATGCAATCGTAAAAATACAAAATTACATAAATCTTGTCAAATGTTTGATAAAATGAGAATAAGAACAAAATACAATGGATACTTGCTACATAACAGTTAAAATGTGAAAATGAGAAATGTAAACATGAAGTTTGTAGATATTTCCAAATAGTTATGTTTTTGTGATACATCAACTTGGGTATAAACTTTTTTATTTGTTTGTATTAGTCATGATATTTAAGTTGCCATATTAGGCCAGTAATGTACATGCAAAATAGTGCAGTATTGCAGTACCTTGTAATACCTTTTTATTAGACTAACAGAAACTTGTATTGACAACATTTTGGAGTTCCTTCCATTATCATGTCTAACACAATTGCTAAATTAATTCCATAGATCTTTTCACTACAAATTTCAGTTAGTCCAATCAAAAATATATTCAAAGAAACTGCAATACTTCACTATTTGCACCTTTTAAGTATCAGTGCAGCAAGGGTCTTCCTAAAATGTTTAAATAAAGCCTTGAGAGAGTTCTATTAGGTTATGTAGCTCAATTTACTGAGCTGTTGTACTCTATTTTTTTAATTCTATATTTGTAAAAGAAAGTGGTACATTGTGTACTACTTTGAAAAGGAAAATAAAATCAAGTCACAGCAGCAAATAAAATGAGAAGATTGTGAGGCGTGTCCTGAACTCGGAGGAGAAAAGTCGCATGTGCTGCTAGCTTCGTGAGGAACTGGCCATCTTCTAGTGAAATAGCCAGTTTAAAGCTACCAAAACAGCAGGCTACATATGTCCCACCACAGGGGGAAAAGGCAGACCAACAAACTCCATTTTTATGGGTATGAAATTGGTGCAGTCTAAGGTCTTACCGCTCCAGGAGGATGGCACTGACACCTACCAGGCCCAAGGGCATCCCTCTCCAGAGACACCGCTCACCAGAGGCCTACTCCAAACGGTGTTGGATAAGATGGCTTACAAATTTTAAGGCTATGCAAAAATAATTTAACATCTCTGACACTATATAAAGGAACTGGATACTCCTTACTAGAAAACAAGATAGCGGAGTACATGAAGGCCCACAACAGCCTCGCTTCTAAAACTGAGGATCTTATAGCACAACTTGAAATATATGAAAATAAGCTGTCTGACATGCAGTAATCTCTATATAAGAGGCATCCCAAAGCAGGTGGGTATGTGAAATCTGCAGACTCATATCACTGAACTCTTCTATGGGCTAGTGCCTGACCTCCCTTAAGATATGTTTCTCATGGTCTGAGTACATGGAATTGCAAAATCTTCTCTTCAAAGAAGTATTAAGGGATATTATCCTGAAAATGCACTATTGCTGCACTAAAGAACTTGTTCTTAAAGTTAGCAGATCCAACAGTATCTTACCAACAAAATTCCAATCTATCAAGATCTTTGCAGGCATTTCCACGGTCACCGTGCACAAGAGAAAATCCTTCACATCTGTCACAGGCCTACTCCACAAACAACATCTGATGTACCGATGGGGATACCCGACCAAATTACTAGTCCAACACAACGGCATTACAACAGCGATCAACATGATGGAAGATGGCATGAAAGTTCTTTGCAACTGGGACAGAATGACAGCTGAACTGTCCAGAGAGGAAAAATGTATCTCCAACCGTACCGCCTGAATAGAAAAAAGTCAAGCAATTGTTATCAGACTTACCACCTGGTTACCACTCGGGTCGTCTGCTCACTTCCCTGTTCCCTTTAGCATTCCATCCAACGCTGCATGCATGTGCACCGCGTGCATTTATGTGCACCAGAATGCGGTCTTGAATTTGGCAAACCAAATATGTCAGGGGTCAAATGAATGGAAACTACAAGCTTTAGAGCCTTTGAGACTTTGAAAGCCAGTTGTGGTACACCCTGATTGGCACTACCTTTTATACTAGAGGTGGATGCTTCTGAATCTGGAGTAGGAGCAGTCCTGTCTCAGAGAAAAACCCCAGATACCGTTTGCATTCTTGTTGCATTTTATTCTGAGAATAACATTTGGAAAGGAATTATGATTTAGGTATAGTTTTAGTGTTGGCATTTAAATAATGGAAACTTAATAGAGGGATCCAAATATCCTGTTCTTGTGTTAACCCTAAAAACTTTGGCTTACATCGCCGAAGCTAAACAATTTTCATTCAGACAAGCAAGATGGTATCTATTTTTGTTACGTTTTCAATAAACTATCAGGCACAGACCTGGTTTTTCGCAACATTAAGGCATGCACTATCTCAAGACAATATGTACCTCTGGAAATAATAGAAAAGGCACCAGAAACTATCGTTCCTCCTACTAACATAATCACAGCTCCTCATTTTACTGTTTCTTCACAGTTGGTTGATGATATAAAACATACCAGAATCAGGCACCTCTGGATACGCCTACTGCCTTATATGTTATGGAAAGGGAAGGATGGCTCCTACCTACATTCCAGGTGTTAGGGTTTGGTTATCCTCTAGGAATTTATTCCTCAATGTTCCTTCTATGAAACTAAATATATTGGTCTGTATAGGGTTCTGCGTAAGGTTAATCCTATCTCATATTCCCTGGCGTTGCCTCCTCCTCTTTGTGTTCCTGACACTATTCATATGTCCCTCCTCAAAACTAAGGGTATCCCTGTCGCAATGGTGACCCAGTAATATCCTGGTTTCTGTAACCAGGTGTAATTTATTCCAGAAGTTTGGTCCTTAAGGGTTTAAACGCTTAAAACAAACAAAATTAAAATGGAAAAGGAGCTTGGTTAGTTCCTCACCCTCCATGCTATGTAACCTCGCACTGCACGCTGAGCAACATTCTAAGGCTTTGACACACTAGCAGCTTACTTTGAGGACTTGTACAACAGTAGCTCTCCCAGGACAAAAGCCCTACCCCTGTGGCACCTCTTACATGTGCCTAGCCCATTTTATGGCACTTTTCTTTGTTTCTGTGTTTCTTTTTTTATGTAGAAATTATTTCTTGTTATCTATGTACATTTGCACTATTCCATGTCTTACCTGTACTGGGGCCGAATGGACAGCTGATATTCTCTACATTTTGCTGTGCTCTAGGCTTTAAAACCATCACGGTTGGAGAATATACTATGCCGTAGCTGAGCACTGGAGCCTGGGGAGGGGAGTCAGACACCAGGGAATCGGGCAACTCCATTGAATGTGTTTATGAGATCTTTACGTTCATGGACCGCATTATATGACCCCCACCAAGAAAATTTATAGTCATAACGTTAGAGGATTAAACATATGGTACAAAGACACATGGTGCAGATGTGGTCTGCTTACAAAATTTTAAAACCGAAGCACACCCTACAATACTTCAGTTTATATACCCATACCAATTTCATTCTACCTCGTCTACTTAAACTAAAGGAGTATCGATATTAATCAGCCAAGTGGTAGCGTTTGAACGACAAGCTCAAATAATAGACAAAGAGGGAAGACACATTATAGCAGTGGGGAAAATCAACAATATCCTTTATACGATAGTAAAGATCTATGTGCCTAACTCAGAACAACACAACTATTTACACAAAATTCTTCAAAAACATGCAAGGGTCCAACAAGGTATCACATTAGTCTGCGGAGACTTTATCCATATCCTAGACCCCGCCCTAGATAAAACATTACTACCCTAAAGCCCTTGACATAAAACTTATTTCTGAACACCACCAACATGACATCTGGAGAACCAACCACATTAGCGATAGGGAATATACACACTTCTCAACGGTACACAATAACTACTCCAGAATCGATAGAATTTTAATGAACGGATCAGACCTCAACCAAGTGGTAGATTTTAAGGTCGGGCAGATGTTGTGGTCTGATCCCAGTTACCTTGAAAGATATATTTTGAGAACCGATGCTGCTTGAAACGTAACAAATCATTATTACGTGATCCTGACCACACATTCCCTCAATATTCAATTATACTTCACAGAAAATGCAACGTCAGATGTTCTCAACTAAGTCATATGGCTGCACACAAACCGTGATTAAGGACTTACTTATGAAACTGGCTCCATACCTACGCAAGAGGTCTAAAGCTTGATTATTAAACTGGCAAAAGGAGTTGTATGATCTCACAGCTCAACATCAAATAACTTCCACAGCTGAATTACAAAAGAATGACATCACCCAATTTAGGAAAATAAAAACCACACACTATTCCCAATAAAATAAAGGTGGAAAACTATTAGCAAGCAGATTAAGGAAAAAACTAACAGACTTAACGGCACTGTGACAAAAGTAACTTCACCACTGACTTTTGGAGGGGCCTGTTTGCCAGCCTCCTGCCCTGTGACTATGTCCCTGTGGTAGACTTTGTTTAAAAACACTGTTTGTGCTTCTTGGACTATTAACAGGAACCATTCGAACTTTGGAAGCCATTCAAAGTGGCATTCGAACACGTGGTGGTGGCCATCTTGTTTAGTTGAACGCATCCAGCGGTGTTTGGTCGTCGAGTGCATGGAACTCAAATCAACGGCGCAAACACTGCTAAACTTTTACCTTCATGGAGGTTCTGCTATTCGAACGGGAGTCAAACGGCATTCGATAAGAAGATGCTCCGGAACAAGAGACATACACTGACTTTTTACACGAACGGCTGCATTCAGTATTTTGAACGTTATTTCGAATCCTCGAAGTAGACTAGGCTGCACAGCCTGATTCTCTGGAACTGTTTTGGGCATGAAACAATGCGTGTGGTCGGTCAAAATAAAACTTCCATAGACTTCTTGATCCCGGAACTGATCTGGGTGATTTTTGGATATGTTGGTCACCATCAGATCAGGGGATTTAATAATCGTGGGGATTTTATGTGTTTTGGGGCTACTTTTGGGGTTTTGTAAAATATGTGTTTTTTCTGCCTGGAGATAATTGGGTTAATACACTATCTGCCTATCTCACAGGCAGAGGGGAGGGATTGTATGATGTATAGGGGAGTGTCATACTTTGTAACCTTGCTTTCATTGGTTGTTAAGTTTGTGTCCCTGTACCCAACAAGGTCCATGAGGGCATGCACCTTACTTGGGGACTTGCATACAAGGCCAGTGTGACTCCCATTAAGGAGAGATTCGTTAACCCCTTCATGAAGTCTTGGCTCATGTTTGGAGGATTGGAGAACTACATTCACTGTGAGGATTGCTATAATTACTATACTCCCCTGAGTATAATCACTAGCTCTTATAAGAGCTGATCCTGCTATGCTCGATGGACTAGGAAAGGTCTACCCACTGGAAGCTGGATCCTGGTCTTGGATCCAGGGTAGGTGGAGGACAGCGAGACCCCAACCAAGATGCGGCAGTTTGTGGGGTTTACGGTGGTTATGGTGCTCGCAAGTACTAGGGAGCAGTGATTGACAGGGGTACCCAGTCAGGGTGCCAGGCAGTCCGTCACAGGCACCCATAGCGGGTGGAAGAAGTCGCAACCATTATAAAGTCACTACCCTCAGGTAAGTCTCCAGACCCTGATGGGTTTGCCAACTCCTACTACAAAAAAATTACAAAACATTTTAGCTCCACACTTGACATAGTTTGTCAATTAAGCCATTACCTACCAGAGGCTCCCTCCAGAGGTCCTCTTGGCACACATAGTAACTTTGCCAAAACCTGGCAGACCACCTACATGCCCCCATAACTATAGACCTATCTTACTTTTGAATACAGGTGCAAAGATTGTTGTAAGAGTTCTCTCTTACCCAACATTATACATAACAACAAAATCAGGTTTATAAAAGGGACACAGTGCTCAGACAACACGTGTGATGTGTTAGACATCCTACAGTCTCAGAAAGGGTAATTTGAAATGGCTTTTTTTTTTTTATTATTCTTTATTTAGGTTGTGACATGCAACAAGACATTATAGTCAATCAATTGTTGTGGCTTACGCAGAAGCCTATTTTAGCGTAATTCAACATATACATATCTAGTACAACGATTGTGCTCATATTCTGTCACAGTTTTACTTCTTTTTTTTTTAAAACAAACAGGTAATCGAAACAACAACACACATACAGGGTGATTCTCTCTATGTCGTGCTCTAGGTATGTTAAAGCAATCAGACTCCTCTACAGGGTTATATTTAAAGGGTAAGAATCTCCCTGGCCTTGCAGTCTTGTCTGGATGATGGGCCTGAGACCCCAATAATTTTCAAAAGTGATGATTTGTAGACCCAAATATCTCTGCTCCAGGTGTTGCTTTTATGCCCTGGTCAAGATTGACATAGTTACTTAATGCTGTCTAAACAAAGTAGGAGCAAGAGTTTGTAAGTAGATGAGGGAGGGGGTGCAGGGAGAGGAGGAAGAGGGGGAGGGGGTCTGCGAAAGGGTGAGCTCCGCTGCCGGGGCGGGGGGTGTATTTTGGGTCCAGTTTTACCCATGTGCCCTCAGCGGTTAATGTATTCTTCCCATGGTTCCCATATTTTAAGGAAGCGTGGGTATGTCACGTACTTGAGCTGAAAGTTTGTCCATGAGGTGAGCTTCCTTGATGTTACGGCTTACCCTGTGTAATTGTGGGATGTCAATCTGCAGCCACGTTTGTGCCAAAGCACGCCTGGCAGCCAGGTTGATTTTTTTTTAGGAGCTTTTGCTCTCTGTTAGGAAGGTTATCCATCGGTTTGGCTAACAGGAAGGTCCATGGGTCAGGGTCGATTGGCTTATTTAGAATTTCTGTCAGGAGTCTGGCTATGCTAATCCAATATTGCACCACCTTTGGGCATGTCCACCACATATGTAAGCCTCTCCAGCATGTATCTGTGGTTGTTTTACCCATTCTGTGAAATTTGACTGGTGTGGTGTACCATCTCATAAGTGTTTTGTAACACTGCTCTTGGTGAATGACACATACAGAGGACTTGGTTGCTGCTTCCCATATGTCCTGCCATTCTTCGCTTTCAAGTGTCTGGTGGAGCTCTGTTTCCCATTGTGTTTGGGCTTCCCCAGTGGGTGCGCTCAGTTGTACACATAGGCGAGTGATGAGACCGGCACGTGGTCCCTCAGACATACATAGTATTTCGGAGACTGTGGGTTTAGCCCTAGCCGCTTCAGCTACCTCAGGTTTCTGGACAAAGTCTCGTAGTTGAAGGTACCTTTAATGATCTTTAGTGGTTAATGGGGCTATGGATTTTAGATCCTCTATGGTGCGTAGGGTGCCTGTCTAATATAGGTAATAATAACGCTGAACTCGAGTGTCTTCCATACCCTAGGTGTCATGCCTGGTGGAAATGCCTTGTTGCGAAGGTATGGTGTCAGGGGTGATGTAGAGTGCGTGAGTACATATTTGTGCGCCGTAGTGTTCCATATCCTAACTGAATTTAAGATGGCTGGGCAGGTGGTGCGAAGTGTCGGGCGATCTGTCCTGGGTACCCATATCCAAAATTGTGGTAAGTCTGTGCTCATAAGGAGTGTTTCTAGGTCTACCCATCTGTGGGTGTCTGGGGGCGAGTGCCACTCTACAATTTGCGCCAGTTGGGCTGAGAGATAATATAGGTGTAGATTGGGTAGCCCCAGGCCTCCTCTGCTTTTTGGTGTGTACAATGTGTGCCTTGCCACTCTATGTCTCTTTCTGGCCCAGATGAAGTTGTCTATGGCTGTTTGTAATGGTTTGAGGTCGCTTTTAGTAACTGCCACTGGTAGTGCCTGAAACAGGAACAGGAGACGTGGCAGGAGATTCATCTTAATAATATGCAATCTCCCCAGCCACGAGATGGGTTTCTCGTGCCTTTTTTCTAAATCTGTTCGCAAGGTAAGTCGTAATCTTCTGTGGTTTTCAGTGTAAAGGTCTGTGTGGTTTTGTGTGAGTCTGACACCCAGGTATTTAATGGGTTGTGTGCTAATTTTGAGGTCTGTTGTAAGTTGCAGCCATCTGACGTCTGTGTCTGTGACTCCTAATGGCATGTTGTAACGGAGCTCCAGTACTCCAACCGAGTACCTCCGCCAAGTCGGCTTCCTTGTAGCTATCAGGGAAACACTTCAGGCCCAGATGCCGAGGCTTGACTGGGATCACTTAGGGCCTTTTCCACCCAGGACCAAACACCAGACTACACATGGTGAAGGTTAAACAGCAACTCTTTAATGAATACAGCACACATAGTTTAAGCCCTCAACAGCCTCATTTACATACAATAGGTTACATAGATTATTATAGTACAAGGAAGGGTGGGGTCAGACAATAGCAAGGGCTGATGGGAGATTGAGGCGGGACAGAACAGCTAGAAACAATAGGACAGGAAAAAGGGGGGAGGGGGAGATGCACAGACCAGCAATACATTCAACATACCCTGCACAAATAATAGGCACAATGTGACAAAACACAAAAGGAATTTGGGAGCCCACCCACAGTGTCTGTCTTCCATCCCCAGTGATGGCGACTACCGTCACACATGCCTACTGATTTTTCTAAATTTATTTTGTATCCTTACACTTGTCGATAAGCGTCTAGAATGTCGAGGATGTGGGGGACTGATTCTTTCGGATCTGTGATAGTGAGCAGTATGTCATCTGCGTAGGCCGTGATTTTAAATTCTTCGGACGCGACCTGTATCCCCTTTATGTTTACTTATCGTCTCTAATTAATTGCATCAGAGATTCTAGAGCTAGTATGAACAACAGAGGGGACAGGGGGCATCCTTGTTGGGTACCGTTGGTCAACTTGAAGGGGGTCGGGTGTGCCCCCAGTATCATTATTTGGGCCCTTGGGGTTGCATACAATGCCTGGACTGCCTTGATAAACAGTATGGGGAGCTGCATTTCTCTGAGGAGCGCAAATAGGTAGAACCATTGGATTCTGTCAAACGCCTTCTCCGCATCCAGGGAAATGATCAGAGAAGGCGCTCGTGTCTTTTTAGCCCACCATATCAAGTCTGTTGCTCGTCTCGTATTTTCATAGAGTTGTCTAGTTGGGACAAATCCCACCTGGTCCACATGTATAAATTTAGGGAGGAGCGGGTTAAGTCTGGTGGCCAGGATCTTGGCATATATCTTCAGGTCAAAGTTAATAAGGGAGATGGGGCGGTAGTTTGCTACATTCGAGGTGTCTCTGTCTGGTTTGGGGATGAGGGCTATGTCTGCCGTGGCGAGGTCGGGGTTGGGCGTGTCCACTTCGGTCCAGGTTTTGTACATGTTGGCTATATGGGGGATTAAGTCTTCTCTGAAGGTCTTATAGTAGGATCTGTCAAATTTGTCAGGGCCCGGGGCCTTCCCACCTTTAAGATCAGTTATTGCCCTGTTTATTTAATCATTTTCTATGGGTGCCCCTAGGTGTGCCGTTATGTCCGCTGGTAGTCTCCGCATCTTAGTGCCCTGCAAGAAGGCAGTGATTTGTGCCATGTAGGCGTTATTTGCACTCAATAGGGCGGGGGAGTGATTATATACTTCAGAGAGGAATGTTGTAAATTCCTTGTTTATGTCTATAGGGTTGTTGAGGATTTTCCCTCGGCTGTCCTTTATAGTTGTGATAGTTGTCGATGTCCTTTTGGGTCTGAGGGCCCTAGCTAGTAATATATCCATTTTATTGGACTTTTCATAGAATAGGCGTTTTGTGTGGATCATGTCTTTGCTCACATCGTCTATCATGAGTTCTCTTAGCTGTCGTCTTATGTCATTAAGTTCTCTGGTCGTGGTTGGGGTCTCCGCTTGTTTATTTTTTAGTTCAGTGCTGCACAATAGTTTCTGCAGTTCAGAGAGTTTTTTCATTTTTCTCTTTTTTTTTGATGGGTGGCTATTTTAATCAGCAGTCCCCATATTACCGTTTTATGGGCTGCCCACAATGTTGTGGGGGATATATCCGGGGTGTCGTTCTCTTGAAAGTATCGGGCTATTTTGATTTGTATCGTCTCTCGTGTTTGGGAGTCTTTAAATAGGGAGGCATTCAGTCTCCATTTCCATGGTGTGTGTGGGACTGGGACTTTTAGTGTGAGGGCAATGTCAGCATGATCTGACCAAGAGATAAGATTTATCTCCGAGGTGTTAATCCAAGGCATGGCAAGCTGATTGATGAGAAATATATCTATGCGAGAATATGTCGCATGCACTACCAAGTAGAAAGTATATTCCCGCACACTCAGATGTTGGATCCTCCACGGGTCTAATAGGCCTGTTCGGTTGAGAAAAGTGTTCAGGAGCTTATCTTGCCCTCCTCTATTTTGAGACCGGGGGAGGCAGAGTCCCCCTCCGTGGTCCGAGGCTGGGCATAGTGTGGCGTTTAAGTCCCCTCCTAGTAGTAAGATTCCCCTAGGGAGCGATAGGATCAACGCTTCTAGTTCTGTCCAGAATTCCTTACAGGGGATGTTGGGTGCGTAGACGTTAATCAAATGATATGTGTTAAATATATATGTGTATAACGTGCCCATTAGAACCACGTACTGGCCTTCTGTGTCAGTGTGGGTTTGGGTGATGTTTATGGGGCATTTTTTGTGTATAAGTATCTCAACACCATTCTTTTTATTTAGTGCTCGGGAGGCCCTGGTGTAGATATGGTTTTTGATTTGTGTCGGTGATGTGCGAGGTAAGTTGGTTTCCTGAAGGAAGGCAATATCAGATTGTTGGCGTCATAATTCACGGAAGAGGAGCTGTTGTTTCTTTGGACTGTTGAGTCTGTTTACTTTAAGTGAGGTCAATTTGAGTTCTATTTTGTATTGTCTTACTAAAGGTTTGGGTGACTGTCCAGTGGGGTGTGGTTTGTCTGCTTACCTTATGTATAGATGTTGGGTGGAGCTGCTACCCCCAGCAGCAGATCTGGGAAGGTTGAGGGGTGGGGGAGGATAGAGAGGGTGGGAGTAGGTAGTGTTCTATACACAACCAGAGAGGTACACCGAAAAAGAAAAGAAAAAGGTATACAATTAGTATATTATGCGTCTTGCTGGGTTGGGATCCACTCACAATGATTGGTATATAAAAATAAAACAATAGTTACACCTAACAGTTGAGCAGATTAAAGGTACACAATCAGTGTATTATGCGTCTTGCTGGATTGGGATCCACTAACAAAAATTAGTATATAAAAATAGTTATGCGAATTAAACCGTTCAGGTCCTTTTCTATCACAATCAACAATTCGGTATATTTACCGGGTCTTACTGTTTGCCAGGAGCTCTGGGGGGAATCACCTGAGACGGGGGGAGAAGCACAGCCAAACAGCACACCGGCAATGCTCAAGTGGGTTGATAAGTAATCCCCATTTATATAGTTGCCTGTGAGCCTGGAGGGGCGGAGGGTTCATGACAGTGCTTCTCTCTTTAACCCCAAGCAATCAGGCTCTTTGGCGTGTCAGTGGGACGCAGCATCTTTCAATCACTCCCTCATGTCAGTCACTGGTGTTGTCGCGGCTATAGTTAGGGTGTGCTTTTGGCCTGTTCGTTCAGGGCAAAGTAAGTTAGCGCCAGTATGGCAGGGTTGGTGGTTTAGTCGATATACCCTAGAGCGTACCAATGGTGCCATGGTACGTGAACAAGTTGGGAGAACCCCTCAGTATGTGGGATGACAGAGCGCTTCCTGGCTCACAAAAGGGCATATTCTACCCTCTGTTCCACCTCTATCCCCCATTCTGTCCCACACAGCATGTTCAATTTCGGCCCCTACCCCCCATTAGCAAGACATCTCCAGAGAAACCAGCTACGGTCTTTAGCTATCGTACTGTCGGCTATATATTAACGTGGCTGAAACATCTAACAGTGCAAAACACATATATATACAGATACCCTCAGTGGATCAATTAGCAGGTAGTGGCTTGTATTAGGCCCGAGTGGTGTCATTGTCTCCGGTTCAGTCCCGCTGGTGGTGACATGTATCTCCTAGTTCGGGAAGCTTTGCCAGTGTCCCTGGCCAGGAGGATGGGGCTCTGAAGTCCGCGGGCAGTTCAATGCCCAAATCTGATAGAAAGGTGGGTATGTCCATTGAGGGGAACAGTACCGTCGGTTTCGGGCCATTAAATACCAATATCTTGAAAGGGTATCTCCTAGCGAAGCCCATGCCGTTGATTCTCAGCAGGTCCGTGAATGGCTTCCATTCTTTTCTCCGGAGGAGCGTGG